GAGCTCCAAAGCGGGCCTTTGATCGTTCCTCTAGAGAACATTTTTTTTCACTACGTAACAATTTTATCCTTGCCTGGGGTCCCCTAATCCCGCCGCAGCCCCTCTCCCTTTCCTCATTTACACACTCCCTTGATCTCTTTTTCCTATTCGTATCGCAGATAAATTAAACAAAATAAATATATGGATCCTTTGAGAGAGGAAGGAAAAAACCCATCAAAAGGGATTCCTTTTTATGAAATCCCTATGAAGAAGAAATGAAGCAAATGGAAACTTGAGAATGCGCGTGCGTAATGATGAGATCTGTAAAAAGCCATCGGGCTGATTATTGAAATTGATAGACAAAGCTAAAACAAAAGACAAAGAAGACATAGGGAGTACGGAGCAATCCTCTTAGTTTAAATTGGTGGCTCCTATAGACTGATTGTGAGATACAAAATGATGTACTAAATATAGGATCTCTCGTGTGTTGCCCTCATAGTTGGTCTAGTACCTACCTCTTTTGTCCATTGCAACCACCCACTTCCACCAATAGGATCCCTCCATATCCCTTTTTGTCTTTTTTGTCTTTTTTGTCTTTTTTGTCTTTTTTGTCTTTTTTGTCTTTTTTGTCTAAAGCTTTGTCTATCAATTTCAATAATCAGCCTGCAGAAGTTACGAAGTAACAACGTAATATAACCTTACCTACACTGAAAAAAGTGCTCAGTTCAAGCATGATGCTTCTAAAATTTGCCGCCAACATTTTCTCTTTTTTTTTATCTATCCTGACTCAAGTTAAACTCTAGGGACAATTCAAAATTCTTTAGGTTAAGCAAAAGAGTAGCATAACTAAGCTATAGGCATAAACATCACTCTTGATCCAAAAAAAGTATTTCTTGGCGGCATATTTAAGGATTTTCGAATTTCAAAAGTTTATTTTGAGTATTTTATACACTTCTTTCACAAATTCTCTGTTTTTTCTTTCGCATCACTCTTGAGTTTTAAAAATATGAGCTCCAATTGGAGGTTCTGCACTTTTATGTTTAAAATGTTTTGATTAAATATGCGTCATTCGATTTGGATGCTACTACACAAAAATGTACTTCTTTTTTGCGAAGCATTTTCAAGTTTTGTCAATTATGCTCAACTCTAGTTTGGTCTTACAATTAGTAATCCCTGACAACAGCAAAATTTTCATCATAAATTATAATTGTAAGCTTAAATCGGATACTCAAAACAAAAAAAGTCTAAAATATTGTTTCAATTGTCCCTCGTGCACCTATCAATCTAAAGATGGCTTGGATAGTGATAAGGGAAAAGTTTAAGAAAGCTCGATTTATCTGGCGAAAATTTTTCAATAGAATACCTATGGATATTGTTTTTACTCTAGGTTCTGCGAGAAGTAAAATTTCTTATTTGTTTATCATTATGAACATAAATATCTCTCCTTCACGGCTCCTAAACCTGCTGATATGCCTGGCCAATCCGACTGTACTAACCCCTTACTAAAATATTATACCCGAGCTTTTCTTTCTCTTCGGAAATAATCTACATTCGTCACGTTCCCCATTATTCTTGAATTTTCATTTCGATGCAGACGCAGGTTACTTCATTATAATAATAATTGAAACTTCGCGTAAAGTAGAATAAGATTGTTTGCAGGAGCTTATGCGGGAAAAGGGGCTCGATGCGATGGGGTCTTGGTTCAAGAATCCATTTATAAAAAGGTCATTATTTGAAAACTATGGACGATTTACATTTTTGCTCTTACTCCTCCTCTTAAAAACTTTTCTAGATCTTTGCCGCCCCTTTCTTTGAAAATTTCCAAGTTGAACCACTGGCTGTTTATGTAGCTATCAGTTTTTGATACGAGGATAGATTCATATTGTTCGAATCAACTTAATTTTGGTTTTAAAATCACAATTTTACCAATACCTATATATGAAAGTGTAGTCTATGTCTTTATGAGGCTAATTGTTTAAAGCGGAATGTGCATTAGTCTGCCGTTTTTTTCAATTGGATGTTTTTTCCCCTCCAGAATAGATCAAAAAGCTTTTAGGCGAGATAAACATGTAATAGAGTTTAAAAACATTCGGACTTGATTAATCATCTCAAAAAAAACATTGAAAGAGAGAAAAATACATTTTTGTTACATAATATATTTATCGGCCCCTTGTCGATCACTGGAAAAAAAAACATTGGATTTAGAGTGCAGACTCTTGAAAACACTGACAAGAAAAAATACCTTTGATTCAATCAGATTTAAACTTAAATCAAAAGGAAATCCGCTCAAATTAAGAGGCTTGGTTCTTGATTTAAGCTTAAATCTGATTGAATCAAGAGTATTTTTTCTTGTCGATGTTTTTAAGAGTCTGGACTCTAGATCCAATGTGTTTTTTTCCAGTGATTCCTTAAAGAAAGTACTGTGTTTGAACTTGAACCCTCCTTCCCTCTTAAACTAAATTTGTAGCTAATAGTGAGTAATTTTTCAATTTAAGAAGAAACCAGCAGCATTTTAAAAAAATGAAAGGACATCTGCTCATATCAACTCAAGCATCTGGTATTGAAACTAAATCATAAAAATAGTGCCGGTTCTAAAATACGCCCTCTTAGAGCGACTGATATCCGTTTACAGAAGAATCATAGGCACTTACAATAGAAAGTTCTGTCTACAGAGCTTCCAAGCTTTTCTTGTTATGGTCATAGAATATTTCTAACAGGGAAACAGAACTTTGGTCGTAAGCAATTCATGACTAAAAACGAGGATAGCTTAGCACGGAGAAAAAAGTGCGGTTCACATTGTACACCAAAGGTTTTTGGTTCATGCAACCGAATTTTCCGGTCAAAAGAACGGAGCTCTGGAAATATGTTTCCTTTGACTAAAAACCTTAGTTACCTAAATCCAAAAACTTTGGTGTTAAATATAAACCAAAGTTCAGCCCCTATAGCCAACGTTCTTTTCGCCGGTGAATACCACTGTAGACAGAGCGCTCTGTTACAAGCACCAAGTATTTGTCTGTGCCAACAAACAGGATATTCATCACAGTTTTCGATAGGATGGGGAAGACTGACTCAAAATAGCATCACAGATGTTTAGGTTATGTCCAATAACCTGTTCAAAACACAAACACGGAGACGAGAAAACGAGCAAACTCGCGTCGACCGCTTTCTTACAGGCGTGAAGGGTTGAAATTTCGTTCACTTGTAACAGCACAGACCGGGGGAAAATTCGAGGTTGAGGGATTTCGCGTGCGTGAAAGTTAGGAACGGCGCGGAACGGTGCGGATATTTCGAAGACGGGCGGAACTGCAATACGGCCGCGGCGTGCACCAGCCTGGAACTCACCCCATTCTCGCTCCATTGAGGTGGCTCGACTGACCCCCGCGCCTGCGCCGGAACCCCCTTTCGCCCCCTCGCAGCCGCCTTTCGCCCCCTCGAAGCAAGCGCAACGGTGGCCCCATATTGATTCTCGGTCACTCCTCCATACGGCCGCCTCTCTGCTCGACCGGTAGCTACTATGGCTATAGTATGCCGCGGCATTAATGGATAAGTGTGTCAGTTAAGCGCCGCCACCGGCAAGTTCACGGCTCAGGGCTAAAAAATAAGATACCGTCACCCCCCCCCCCCCCCTCGTCCAAGTCGATGAGGGCAAGAGGCACCGCCAGTCCAGAAGTGGAGCCTCTTCGTTCCTTCGCAACTTGAGTTCCCGGTCTTTGTGAAACTTTTTGAAAAATAAGTTGGAGCTCCTCAGACGTATGACTCGTGCTCCGTCTTGATGAGGAAAAAATTCGTACGAGTAACTAACGATTGCCAACTTTGCCTCGATAAAATAACCATTTCTGAGAAAATGTTTGAACACGCGGAAAAAACTATGTAGTGCTGAGCACTAACTGTTTAGATCAAACGGAGCCAGCTTATATAGCAGTACTGCTAAAACCTGTGTCTGTAGGGCTGGACCATAAAGTTTTAGAGCTCAGCACTACTGCCATATCAGTTGGCTCCATTTAATCTAAAAAGTTAGTGTTCAGCACTATATCGTTTTTCCGTGTAGTTTTTCTTGAAATTTTCAGGTTCCTACTTTAATGTAATTGCAAAAAAAAGTATTTGAAAAGTTGGAGGGAAAATATCATTTAATTTCATAAAACATGCTTGTATTATCGAAGGAAATTTGGCAGCATCTGAAGGCTCGCAGGTATTCTTCAGCATGGCAGCGGTTAAAATTACCACGCAAGCTAGAGGTCAGTGCCTGCTCTTTTTCAGGTCAAATGGCTGTAAATGCACTTTACATGGAGTAAAAAGTATCCGACAGTAGTAGCTAGCGGTAACTATTCTTACAAGTTCGCAACAATTTTTTCCCTCTGTTTAGGCAGTATTACTGTTGGTATATTTAATTATGTATTGAATATAATGCAATAGCATTGTGCTCCATTGTAGTAAGTGGTCAATTATCATGCGTTGAATGATTGAAACCTCTCGTATAGTTTGTGAATAAATAAAGAAATCCTTAAATAAAACGATAAAAAGTTTTTAAAAAAATGTTGATCGGGCTGAGAGGTGTAACGAACTATATAAAAAGATTTAAAATAATTCGTGCACGTCAAAACTTGACTTTTAGAGAACAAACGTGAAATCAACAAAAAGTACTTGCGGACCCTAAAAATAAATCATTTTATCGTGAGAGGAGTAAGTGCGCTTACACAAAAAATGATCATGTGAGCCGTCGACACTGCTAACGCGCCTTCAATTGCGGATGCATACAAAATCACCTCCGGGGAGTTAAAATAGTTATCGTTCGCGCCTACGGCTGAGATCAAGCGCAGATTGGGCTTATTTACTTCGATGAATTTTGGAGCTGCAAGAATTCGAGCGAGTAATTTTCTTTCGACGTCAGGAATTATTTTTTACTTAAACATTTCCTGAAGCAGAGGGATCATTACTGTATTTATTACGTTAAAGTGCGATCATACATGCATGCATTTGAGGTACGAACAAAAGGTTAAATAGGAATATATAGATACACTTACTTCTTTTTCTGGAATGAGCTTGAAGAAAGGCGGTGACGATATCGCAGTTTTTCTCTTTCAGTGTGATGAGAAAGTCTCGTTTCTTTAGGTTGTAAACTAACTTGTTCCCCGCTCTGGCGATCTGATTTTGTAAATTTTGAACCAGAAGACGTAATTCTTCTAACCCTGGAAGTTAAAGATAAACATTTAAAACCATCTTCGAAGATGTCAGGCCTTTAAATTGTAAAAAAACTTTTCTAAAAAGAATAAAACGGTTCAAAAAGAAAAAAATGAGAAGAAAACTGTTGAATCCTGAAGACGGGAATAACCGGAACCTTTCTCTGGACAAGGCCCCGTTTTTAATTGTTTTGAGGGGAGATTAACTGACGTTCTTTAAGCAAAATGTTTTAAGAACCAAAATCCCATTTTTAATTATTCCCACTTTCTGTTGAAATTTCATTCAGACTAAGAAACCTCTCTTGAACTTAACGAGCACTGCTGAAACCCCTCAGAAGGAATCTCTAAAGAAACTCTGGATTCCGCCCTGCGCTCATATCACTCCGATAGTTTTGGGAGCAAACCAGGCACCATAAATTCACTCTGAATTTCACCTCCAGATTTTTATCTGCATGCACACAATAATTACATGTGGTTCAAGAATATACCATCACCTTCCAGGCTAAGTATCACAAGCGCCATGCGACTTTTCAAACTTTCCGTCGCCATTTTTCTTACAGAGAAATTGCTGATTGAATCTGTTTAAAAATTTCACCGAATTTTATCGGCAGCACGAAGAAAATCCAGTGAAAATTTCGGACAGCTTCGTTGAACAATTTCTTTGTAAAAAAAATAAAATTGCGGCGGAAATTTTTAAACGTCGCCTGGCGCTTGTTGGCCGGAAGTTGACGACACGGCGATGCTATATTTGAACCTCTTTAAAATCTTCAGTTTACATTCCCCAGTAGAGACGCGAAAGTGCTCTTGATGGCATTTAAAAGCCATGTCAAAATTGCATCCTGAAAATTCCGGATATTTCGTAGAGGCCTCGGAGAGAGGAAGAAGGTGGGTTTCGAGCATCGAGGGGGACTCCCTTCCAGTCCCTTGACGAACGCAATTCCCGCGGCTAATTAGAACTCATTTCAATATTAAATGAAAACTACGTCATAGCGAAACAGCCCTATCTTTGATTTGAGAGCTCAACAGAGAAGTGGATGTGAATTGTTCCTTGAAGGAAATGACTGTTCCTCAATCATACTAGCACAAGAATCGATTGCGAAGGAATATTTCTTTGCCGCTGCTCATTTCCGAAAATTTCTCGCGATGCGTGCTACGAATGACAGGCACGTGCCAGGGGGGGGGGGGCTAGAAAAGCCTAAGCTACCTATTAAAAATGATGGATTTTTTTGTTATCTTTTATGAATGCTGAAACTTTAAGATAAAATAATCTAATAGAAGGTGAACCGCAAGTCAATTTTATTGCAAGGAATAAGGTAAATGAATAGAGAAGCAAGAAAGAGCAACCCCCCCTTCCTCACCCGTCCAAGCCCCCCCCCCAAAAAAAAAATAATAAATAAAATAAAATCCTAGCTACGTGCTTGGCGGCTGATGAACTCTCGTTTCCGAACACGGTTCAACCCTATAAGCATTTGGATTCGAGCCCGACTCAAAGTATACGATATTTTGCAGTATCTGAGTGATATCCTGCCTTTTGATGTGTTTCACTACGACGAGGTGCTGCGTTCCAGCCGTTCCTCGCTTTACCTTTCCGCTCTCCCAGATTCGGATATCATTTTGTTATTTTCCGTGGTTTTTTCCTTTCGAAGTCATTGGATTCAAAAGAATTTGCCTCTAAGTGAAATCCCGAAAAGATTACAACTAATGATGGTCCTATAAGTAAGGTATGTGGTCTCGTAAAATGAAAAATCGTGAAACCCGTATGAGTCTTTTGAAATTTTATTTGTATTAGATTCTCTTATTTACTTTATTCAACTTGTGATTTGAATTTGTGCCACCACAGTAAAAAGGGCTGAAAATAAAATCGTTTTCATGTAAAACAGACAACATTGCGGGAATTCGTGGTCAATTTAGTTGTTTAAAGCGGCCACTTTTCCATTTGGCGGATGCATATCAAGGTGATTAAGCTCAATAAGGTCAGTCGTCTAAAATAATAGCCCAGGAAGAAGGGTTGCCAGATAGCGAGTGTTTAATTACTTTCATTAATCGGCTGAAATCAAGAGACCTCGCTGCGCTGCTCGACAACCTCACCGCAAAGTCCACAACCCCGAACTCCCGCAGCTTAATCAAATATCGTGGCGATTTAACAAGCCTCACGAACGCGCTGTAATGAAAGCCGATGAGATCAGAGCTGGCCCTATATTAATATTGGTGACGCATTCCATCAATGTCACGATGAGCCCACAACTGTGACGTCTGCCGCGTTCCGAGATGTTTCAGCGGTTAAATCATACGTTACGTTACGTCACGACAGTTGATCTCCAGAATCGCGTATTTTGGTAATCCGGAACTATAATTTCTGGCTCATCTATAAAAATATTCGTGTATTTTGTAAAACAAATGGAACATACGTTGTTTCTGAACTGAGAGAGAAATCATGATTCCTAATAAACAAATGTAATCCAATTCAAATTAAAAGAAAAAAACTTCAATAACCAAGATTGGATTGAGCTCAGCAGGGAAAAAAAACCGTTCTTTTTGTTAAAACAAGGGTATCCTTGTTGTAAAATTTCATTTTGAAGTATTTTTCGTAAAGAAAAGCTTTCGTTTCAAAACATTAACTTTAATAAATTGCAGGAGCCTCGTTTACTCATTTATGACCAAGAAAGTTCAGTTCGTTTCAAAAATCATTGGTATAATTTTTAAATTTTTAATGGCTTGGTTGCCTTTTCCTGTTGGCAAAAAGAAACTGAATTAGCTCAGGGGGAAACCCCATGTCCAAAACAATTTCCCTTCTAGATTTTTGGTTGAAGAGATTAGGTAAGAGGAAGGAACCAACCGCATAGCGATGCTAATTGAGTTCCTCCAAGAAACTAACAAGCATAGTGCATTCCTTATTCGTCTAAAAACACGGTTCCTCTGAACTAAATCCAAATGTAGTGTCAATTGGACCGAGTTCATCAGAAAGGAACCGAACCACATTGAGTTGAAACTGAGAAAAAGAGGTTTTAAGTTGTATTCCTGCAAATGGCTTAATGTAAAAAATAAACTTCAACCTCTCTTTTCACAAAACCTTTTTTGTTTTTAGACCTTCAGTTTTTGGCAGGAGAAAAAATACGGCCAGTGAAACTCAAAAACATTTTTAACTCAATTTCTCCTTGGGTTGGTTCCTTTCCGATAAACTAGGTCAAATTATTCATCAATACGGAGAATCAGCATGACAGTACTCACTTCTCTTTTGCAGGTACGGAAGCCCATACACTCGAACGACGCAGTCATCGCAGTCGAAGTCCGAATCGGTGGTGGTCGTACGATTGAAGTAATCCGTGGTGGACTGGTCACTCCGGTTTCCGTCCGACAGCTTCCGGTCTCCGTGTTTCGAGATATCGATGAGCAACTGGTCCACCAGCAGCGAGACTTTCCGCTTCGTCTCGATTATCCTCGAATCGGAATCGTTCTCCGTGCTCACCCCCGTTTCACTACTACTCCCCTTCCGGTAGGCGCGTCCCACTTCCGGTCTCTTCACCACCGATTCCCGCACTTCCGGTTTCCCGCGACTCGCGAGCACCGACTCCCGCGTTTCCGGTTTCCCGCGACTCGCGACCACCGACTCCCGCGTTTCCGGTTTCCCGCGACCCGCGACCACCGCCTCCCGCGAGGATTCGCAACACCTCCACGACGACGCGGACTTGAAATTGTTGTCGTTGTTGTTGATTTCATCGGAACTAACGCTGGAGCTTCGCTGCGGCCACGCACTCGCGGTTCTGCGCTTCGACTTCCGGTCGGGTCGTCGAACGCTTTTACACGGGCACTCGGCGAACCCGTCCGAGGTTTGGAGGACGGTACAAGCGCACATGTCACCGCCGCCGGAGAGATTGATTCCGTTGCCTTTAGCACTTGGCGCTCTGCTTTTGGTGGTGCCGAATTCTTCCGGAGCGGCGGCGCGGAAGAAATCTCCGCCGCTGTTGATGATGAGCAGGCCGCTCTCGGGCGACTTCTTCAGCTGCATGTTGACCGTTTTCACGCCGAGCCGGTTCGAGGGCAGTTGCTCGGAGATCGGGAAGAATCGTATCATCGGCTCTCCCAGGGTTTTAATCTTCGGTCCTTGAGTGTACCATCGGCGGTTTGTGGTCTGTATTTCAGTCCTCTTCATCGGGAAGAATTTCCGGATCGTTTAGTTAGCCAGAGAAGATGGTTGTCTTCGGAACTTAGGCCGATCTTCTCATCAAGGTCCTTCAACTTATTGTAGCATAGTCTCTCTATGTCGCCGCACGCTTCTAAAAGACCTGAAAAAGGTTAACATTTATCATTAGTAATTAGAACCCCAACATTCTTTTTCGAATGTAATGGAGTCGGACAAACCCAAGCAAAATGGAATTTCCCAGGAATTGTCAGTCCGTAAATTTTCAACTGTGCGTTGTCTAGGACGCATTTTACATTCCCCATGTGGGCATTTTTATTTTTTCGATTTCGGTAACCAGGTTTGATCAAGAGAGGTAAGAAAACCGAACCTGAATATGCAAGCATTCTCGCAAACTTTTCCGCCTCGAGTGTGATTTTCCGTCGTTTCGTGTTAACCCTTCGATGCCCAAGCTGAATGAAATTGACCCGAGGCTTGCTGAAAACACGTGCTTTGCGGGTTGTATGGAACCGGTATACACACGAGCTCTAGATCTAGGTCTACAAATACATCCTGCCTCAAGTAGAAAAAAAAAAGAAAATCCAGTGTCAAAACAGCCGAAGATCGGAGAGGCGTAATCGGGCCTTGCTTTTTATCTTTTCTCCCAAATCTGAGTGACACCTGATTGGCGGCATAAAGCGGAGTATTGAGAGTTCACGCTTCGTGCCATCGCGCCTTCAATATTGCAGATTGCACCACGGACATCCATCAAGCACAAATAGTCGTATCTCTACGCCATCATCAACGCGCGTCCTTTTCTTTGATCTACGTCCATATTGCGTTTCATTCCGTTTGTCTTTTATTAAAATTTGTTGTGGTGTTTTAAGCGCTACGCGAGCAACACACACAAAGATAGAAACGACGTAATCGGACCTCATTTTTTTTCTCTCGAATTTGAACGAGCATGAAGGCTATTTCCATTTAAATCTTCCGTCACATTCATACGGCGCAATGATACAACTATTTGAACTCTCCGGAATGCGTGAAGTATCACGCCGCATTCGAAGGCGTTTTCAAAACAGCTTAGTTCCGATGCCCGGATTATCGTTTTGCATAGTTCATATTCTTTTGTTTTCATTTCTAACCTCTCGTTTATTTATAATCCTCTTAGAAAAACCACCCATTTGCTAAATACAATTCTACCTGAAGCGCATTTCAGCTATGCATTCACCATTGCAAAAATGTCACAGGAAATCGACAAGCACAGCGTGGTTGGGGGCTATTTCCATTTAAATCTTCCGTCACATTCATACGGCGCAATGATACAACTATTTGAACTCTCCGGAATGCGTGAGGTATCACGCCGTATTTGAAGGCGTTTTCAAATCAGCCAAGTTCCGATACCCGGATTATCGTTTTGCATAGTTCATATTCTTTTGTTTTCATTTCTAACCACTTGTTTATTTATAATCCTCCTATAAAAATTACCCATTTGCTATATCCATTTCTAGCTGTAGCGCACTTCAGCTATGCATTCACCACTGCCCAGCGTGCATGAAGGCAGGCCCGCCACAAGGGGGGGGGGGGNCTGGTACCGGGGCCCCGTTTTACCCGTGAAAAACCACTACGAATTCACATGCAACCCTTGTTTTGTAAGAAAAAGTGATTTACCCTACAAATTTCGCAAAAGGTGAATAGATTTTCAGAAACACGCTGGGACACTATAGAATTCTTCTGAAATTTTCAAAGAAGTATACTTCTTGGAAAATGTCTATCTATTTTCAAGATTTTCAGTACAGACGGATATTTTTAGTGACTGCGTTTCATTTTCTTCCGTCGTCAGATGCTAAGAGTCTCTAGTCTGGGCATCCTCGACTTCAATGGCTCATGGCTCAACTCCCTTGCCATAGACAAACGAAGGGGGAGTCCAGGGGGGCCTGGCCCTCTTAGAACTGAAAATAGTATCATACGCCCCCCCCCCCGAAAAAAAAAAATTCCAGATGTTTTGAATGCAACAATTCGCAAGCATTTTGTGCTGGAAGTAGAAATAAAAACCATAATTATTCCGCAGAAATTGATGGAAAAATTCTATATGGAAGCTTCAAAATGCGTCCGATTAGTCGTTAAAATTCTAAAATTTCTCGGGGATGCCCCTCGTACCCCCCCCCTCCTTGCTTGGGTCCCGGACCTTAAAACTGGTACCAGGGCCCGAGATGGGATGTGACGGGCCTGTAGCGAGACCTCATTAGTGGCATAGAGCGGAGCGTGGCGAGCTCACGCCTCGTGCCATCGCGCCTTCAATTTTGCAGATGCAACACGGACATTCATCAAGCGCGAATAGTTGTATCTCTGCGCCGTCGTCAACGCGCATCCTTACCTTTACCTTGTGTTATATTACACATACCGACTAAGATGGTTTTTTGTAAAAGAGCGGAATCAGTTTGCAATGTTTTTTTGTAAATTTAGGTTAAGTTTTCTTACACATCTTTCTCGGTTAACCAGAAAGCTGATTATTGAAATGGGTGGATAATGCTATACACAAAGGAGACTCAGAGAAAATGATGCGATCCCGTCAGTCCTGTTGTGGAAGCAGATTGTGGACAAAATACTTTGTAGTAAAGTGCAATGAAGTAAAACTAACCAGGAACAACACAAAAGATGCCTACAGTTAGTTTATCAGTTTCCCCCTAGTTACCGCTCGTTTCAACACTTTCAACCAATGTTATGATCTCTCATTTTCCCTTTACCTACATTGACTATTATTTTGTTTACTAATCAGTTCGTAGGTTGCCAATGATGAAGATAAGTGTACACGCGGCAGTCGGGTAGCCATAAATTTTTCGATGGAGACAAAAATTTCTCTCGTAGAAAATTCAAGTATAACACCGAAATGACGTTTTGTGGGAAAATTGTCAAATCGTACGAGAAAAAGTGGGTACAGACCTTCTAGGCCGCTGGCTCGCGGCCACGAAAAATTTAAAAATGCACCCAACGAAATACAAGAAGAAAGCAATGGAGAGTGAATTTCAGTCGTAATTGACGTGCTCATTGGGAGTTTTGGGCGGTTTTACTATTCGATAGTCCATTCATTCATCCGTATCTCTTGTAAGCAACAGATCAATTGAAACTTGGCAGCATACTTTCATGCAATATGCATGTGCAGTCACGAGAGTGCCGCCTGTCAATGCTTGGTTTCATGTCTGTGATGAGATGACTGACGAGGTGAGTAAAGCGTGCTGATCAGTTGTTTAAATAGGTGACACTCACATCTTGACCCACTTCCGAACTGGGTGCAAACACAGACATAGCACGCATAAAGGTGGCAAGAATTTTCCACCCGGCCGGCGTGATGTTCGCGAATGGTGGTAAATCCACGAGAGCCAATGTGAAATCCAAAAATGTTCCCTCATAATCAAATAGACCAAGTAGTATAGTCTTAAGTGGGAGTAAATGCATCCTCATCAAAATTCGTGTGAAATACTTCGAGTCGAACCACCTCCTTTCGCCCAATAATGTTTGGAATTTTAATATTCAAAATCTTTGATAACTGGACCATTGGCGGAATTAAGAAGGAGTCAGAGGTTCTGACCCGCCAAAAAGATGATGTCCAGAGAATCCTAAATCCAGAAAGTGTGAGGGATTTTCCTAAATATGCGCGTAACATATCTCTCATCTAATATTGTATTTCGATCAGCAGTCCAATAAGGTTAGCTCAAAATTACTCCTGGGTCGACTTGATTTTTCACAATTTCTTCAGAAAGGCCTCTGGATTCCATTTTGTGCTGAGGAACCCTCCGAACTCCCCCATGAGACGGGGGGGGGGGGCTTTCCCTNNNNCCGTCTGCCCCCCCCCCCTCAAGCGTTCTTGATGAGGCAGCCTTCAGGAGCTCCCCCTCCCACACAAAAAGTTCCAGTTCCGCCCACGAGCTGATTCAGAATTTATATGGTTTTAAAATTTATGGAAACAGTACACTTCTCAGTTTAATCTCTTTGTATGCTCGGATAGCACGAGATATATATAACGAGTAGTGCTGTAAAGTAGAATTTTAATTCCTAGTGCGCAAACGAAATATGCTTCCATTATAACCCCTTTCCTGATGCACCCAAATGGGTGGATCAGGAAAAGGGATCAAGCAGAAAGTTTCCCACAGTAGCAAAATAATTCTCCTTTACTTTAGGAATATGTTAACCGCGTTCTCAAACATTTGTCATTATTTGGTACAATGTAGAACCAATAGCAGTTTCGGCGCCCAGATATCCCTTACCATTTCATCTTTTCAGCTTCAGGTTGATCTACAACATTCTTCAAAGAGTCCTACTTGTTTTGGAAAATCTAGTCTCCTTGTTTCATGAGCTCAATCCTAATTTTTTCCAGCGTTTACTGGAAAAAACACATTGGATCTAGAGTCCAGACTCTTAAAAACATCGACGAGAAAAAAATACTCTTGATTTAATCAGATTCTAGCTTAAATCAAGAACCAAGCCTCTTAATTTGAGCGGATTTCCTTTTGATTTAAGCTTAAATCTGATTGAATCAAGAGTCCTTTTTCTTGTCAATATTTTCAAGAGTCTGAGCTCTAGATCCAATGTGTTTTTTTGCCCGTGCAGGAGGAAGAAAATTACATCTAAAGAGGGGATGACTCTGATACTGAGTGACAATCAAAAAGATCGTCATACTTGAAATTTTGAAAAAAAAAAGAAAAAATATCCCGGCAAGATGATGCCCTCCACGGTATACGCAAAAGGGGACCACTCGCCCCTGTGACTCCTCTCCAGTGCCTTGGCGTGCTTTGTGCTGTATCGATTGCTCTGCCATTTAAACCTGTGGAAAAGGATCGACAAACAGAGTGTTCGCAGCGAACACCTTAATAATCGATTCTTTACCACAGCTACACATGGGAGAATATCGATAATCGATTATTCACGCCACGCCACTGCTGTTTGCCCACGCAGCGCCACTGAGAAGAAAACCACCACTGATTTCAGTTGCTTTCTTTACCTTATTAGAAAAAAAAATAATTGGTCATTCGCAGTCACGCAAAGGTCCAAATAAAATTTTGATAATAGGAATCACACAACCTACCGCAGATGCGCTCGATTTTGAGAAGAAAAATTCTGAAAGTTTGGAAAAGCCCGCATTAGTATGAAAGCGGTATACCCAAAAACTCCACCTGATCTGAATGTTGCCCCTGTCGCTCTCTTTCCTCAGATTTATGGCTCGATTCGTACGCAGGCCCGCCACATCCCATCTCGGGCCCTGGTACCAGTTTTCTGGCCAGGGCCCCTAGCACAGAGGGGGGTCCGGGCGGGGGCCTCCTTCGGGAAATTTTCGAAATTTTATATCGATTTGGACGCATTTTGAAGCTCTTATGATGGAGATTTTCCATCAATTTCTGCAGAATAATTACGCCTTTTCTTTTACTTTCAGCACCAAATACTTTCGAATTGTTGCATTCAAAACATCTATAATTTTTTTTTTTGAGGGGGCAGATGATACTTTTCAATTCTAGGGGGAGCCGGGCGCCGGGCCCCCTGGACTCCCCTTTTGAACGTCTATGGCAAGGGAGTTGAGCCATTGAAGTCGAGAATGCCCAGACAGGGGTTTCTTAGCATCCGACAACAGAAGAAAATGAAACGCAGTTACTAAAAATATCATTCTACATATACTCAAAATCTTGAAAATAGATAGAATCTCTAAAAAAGTAATACGAATTTTATAGTACCCTAGCGTGTTTTTGAAACTTTATTCATCTTTTGCGGAATTTTTAGGGTCATTTTTTCACTTTTCCTTACGAGACAAAGATTACACATGAATTCGTAGGGGTTTGTCACCTGCGTCACGGGCCCCTCCAGGGCCCGGGCCCCGGTACCGAGGACCCAGTATCCCCCCCCTTGTGGCGGGCCTGTTCGTACGTGTGAAAACTGGCTTGAAGTCAATAAACTCATTGAGGCATAGAGATCAATAATTATCCGAGTTTAGTTTTTTGGTTTCCCATAGGTGCGCGATCGGTGAAAACACATGAGCTTTGTAACTCTCACATAAACTTTTTTCTCGATCGTGAGCTCGTGACGTCAGCAACCAGCTAAATACACATCGCACTGTGGAAGTATTTTTTCATACACCCTCACAAAGCAGTGGGACGCAGCTCGTGTGTGTGCAACAAACGTACTATGGTGCGAGTAATCAGGTCAATGAATAAAATGCTTGTTGAAGTTTAAGGGAATAAGAATTTGAAATCAAGTCTGCACATAGTGGATGAACGTAGAAGTTATTTGAACTAGAAACGCCTGCAAAATGACAGAATGCAAATTTCCTTCCTATGCATGGGATTTATTTGTTATGTCGCGTTTAGACTGTAACCGGAGGTGGTAACTGCCACCCATGATCATCCCTGCACTCTCTAGTTGAATACATTTGAAAATAAATAATCAAAAATCAGCTAACTTTGTTTTTTATTGCTTAATCTCCTCTTATATTTCAACAGGATGACGAAGCAACAAACACCTTGAAACTTTTCATGAATTTTTCAAACAGTGTATTGCATTCGTCAATGTGTGCTTGTGTTAGCAAGTGAAACGAGATTTTGATTTCAAATCTTGGTGATGACCGTAACACGCAAACATAAGCACCCTCACTGATAACACACTTAAAACTTTACTTACAGGGGCGAATGCAAGGATGATTACCAGTGTAAAAGCAGTCTAGACTATCTAATTAGACTACATATAATAGAAGGAACTATGTGCACAGGGTTTCCGTAAAACATAGATCCTTTTAGCATAAACGCGTCCAATCGTAGACTTATTTCCTAAATTCAATTCGCATGAAAACCCATTTATCATGACACACTGCTACGGTTGGCAGCTGATACTGTCCTCTTTGATAAAGCGAGCGGTCCCCGCTAATGTTTTCAAGTCAATGAACTACGCACTACAAGAAAGAAGACATTACCAGCACGCTACGTCACGTCAAGTGTACGACAACAATTAGCCCCTCCAACGTTATCATTTCTCCTTTCTTCGCGCGATTGACACTACTGCGGCCGTGTCGCGTCGGTCTGTAATTTATTGGGAACACCTGAAAGGTTAAGGGACGGATAATGGCCTCTCTTCGTCCTTGACAAACTGTGGAGCTTTCGCAATTTTATGTCTCCTCGTTTTTACTTCATTTTCAAATTGCCGCTCGATCAGCCACTTACATTAAATTGAAAGTATTTCGACGGTGTAAGTCGGCAATCACATAACTCGGTTTGCGACGTCGCAGACTTCCTGTCATACTTTATTTTTTAAACGGAAAACTACTCAACGGCAATTCTTCAAACTTCCATGATTTTCCTTCTCTGGGCGACGAAAATTCTGCAAAAACTTCAAGGAAATATGTCAATTTGTTCTCTACTAAAAAAAATAACATAGAGGCGGAGATTTTCGGACACCGCAACCGAGATATGCGATTACGGACTCACGCCGTCGATTAATGCTGAAAGGAACTACATCGACGGAAGACTTTGAAACCACGTATCTTCATTGTGGCGTTTCATTTTCGATCTTGTTTCATTTTTTCGAGGAGGAACTCTAGATATAGCTTGACATTTTTACAGAATCTTCCTCCAACAGAGAAGAGAATAATCAAAGTAGGATGGAAGATTTAAAGAGATTGCGTCGATTATTTTTCCATTTAAAAAAAGAAAAAAAATGAAGTATACCAGGAAATCTGCAACATTTACAAACGGAAATTCGTGGTTTCGCACTTTGGCCATCGATTTGTTGCACGAAAATTATATGCACATACTTAGTTACTTTTAGTATAAATACATGCAACTAAGGATTAAACGGATTTCAGCGGAACCTGCTTAATTCCATAAGACCAGATTATTATTTATTTTTTCTACCCGAAAACCAAGCGACATCCTGACTTGAAATTGTTTATCTACACTCTCTGCAATCTAAGTCAAATTCAAAGAAAGATTCGAAGCGTTATGTTGTTTGGTTTTATATATTTAAAAAAAACCGACAGGAAGTTAGGTAACGTGAAATAAACGGTTAGATTTAAATTTAAACGCGCTCCACATTTAAAATATTTCTTAGCTATCGACTTTTTTGCCAATTAAAAACCGTACGACTAGTGAGCCTTAAACTACTCGTGGCACATTTTGTTCATGTGTCATGCTCGCGATTTGGTTCATTTTTATTTAATATAGCCCTCGTATTTTACTGCAGCTGGAATCAAATGAATGAGGTTGAATTGCCGCGAGCAACTATTACTGCTCGAAAGCCGCTCATATTGCCTACACAAATTATTGCAGGCGAACTGATCTGACTCCAAGCGCTGTGCTCAAGGACTGTATTTAAAATGCAATCACCACCGATTTCGAGTAAATGAGGCCTAAAGGTCTGAGAAATACGTGTTTGAAGTTTCGAATTTAGATGGATTCTTATGGCGGAGAGAAAGTTCTAACTGACTTTTTTATGCTTAAAAATTGAAATTGAATTTTTCACAGAATATGCATAAAGACTAGTTTTATTTGAAATCATTAATATCTAAATTTTTCAAAAACTGCACTTATGCGCCTCTTGTATGTATTGCTATTTACTCCGAAGTCGCGAAAATTACGTAAAAAAACAGGTCGTATATTCAGGTTCAAGTTTCCGGCACTTCCCTCCAAAAAATTTCAGCGGAAAACAAGGGTTTCAATCAGATCTATTTTCCGTCAATTGCAAATTTATCTCAAGACGGCACTCCGCACGCTTTTGAAGATCGACAACATTTGGTGGCTGGACATTTGACCCAATTTTTTCCACCCTATACCTAATTTGGCCAACTAATTTAATCCAAGGCATACGTTGGCTATGTTGCTCACGTCGTCCTTCAAGCCCTGCTATACATAAGACAAAAGGAACCGACACAACATGGAAATAGAGTGAGAGAAAGGACCCGCTTTGATGACGGCGCAGAGATACAACTATGCGTGCTTGATGGATGTCCGTGTTGTATCTGCAAAATTGAAGGCGCGATGCGTAAACTCGCAATGGTCCGCTCTATGCTGTCAATGAGGTATCGCTTGGATTCGAGAGAAAAGGTAAAAAAGGCCGATTACATCTCGCCTATCTTCGGTTGTGTTGATATTTGATTTTGTACCTTTTTCAATTTGATGTCCTCTTTTTTTAAGATGTATTTGTAATCCGGCTTGGGCATCTAAAGGTTACCCACATTGAGGTGGGAATCGAGAAAATCCTATTGCCATTACTATTCTATACATCCAAGTCTACCGATGGGTTTGAATTCTAACACTAGCAAAAGTCACATTCTTTACGTTTCCTATTTAGAGTTGTTCTCCTCTGTTTTACGATGAGGACTAGGTCTTGTTGTAAATGAATTCTGATTTTTTTTTCAATCAAAGGAAAATGAATTCCATTTCTGACAGCTTGTGGCTATTTTAAATCTAAAGATATGAGTCTTTCGGTAAAGGATATACACTTGAACTTATGTGACCATTAACTCGAGGTTCCTGTTAGGAAAAAAGCGAAAAAAACTCATGGATAAGTTACTCTACACAGTGACTTAGGCACTAACTAGGACCATCGAAGAGCAAACAAACCAGCTTTTTTTCATTTTTTCTTTTACAGAAGTTAACCAAATTAATTTACTTATTTGTTGTAGGCCTCATTGAAGACTATGATTGGTAAAAGAAAGAGTGTCATAATTTTAAATTACTGTCATTTTATTTACCTCCATTGAGTGAGGAACTAATCGCGGGGACGTATTCCGAAAAAAACCCAATCATTTTGTGTTTCTCATTAAATTTCGAGTTCCCGTAAGTAGTATTAAAAAACCAACTCCCTCAAAGTGAACATTTTATTACTTGCACACTGGATAAGTAAAGGAGGAAAAACAAAATTCATGATGATATTCAAAATGAGAAATAGTTTACTTCTAGGTACTTACATCATTCAAAATCGAAACATTTTCGCGATTTACCGCGTCGATCGCTCCCACAAATTCTAATACAAAACTTCGTTCCCTCCGGCACAATCATCAAATTATCCTTGATTATCAATCGGGAAACGTTCTATTCCCTAATTTACTCTTTGAATAATAGAAAAATTGAATTTTGGTGGAATTTAATACACACACACTCGGTTGAAAAATCAAATTTAAACTACTTTGCGAACCGCGAATTTTTGAGGCTGCCACAGGATCGCAAAGCCTAACCAGCCCGCGTAACTGGGCCTGGAAGTTGAAAAGTCGGCCTGGAGCGCTGTGTACCCCCCTCCCCCTCTCCCTTGCCGGTGCCCAACACAGTTCGTTATCGCTTCAAGTTCTATTTACTGACATATGATTTACCTACTTCGTTCAGACAACAGAACCTCAGTTCCCCCATCACACACACACACACACACACACACATGGTTCAATCAAACTTACAATGAATATCTGTAACGGATACGTGTGTTTGATGAAGGACCATTTTTTAAACGCAAGGTTCTGTGAAGAGCACACGTATGAAACAATTCCATTTTAACGGTAAAAACTAATCCTTTTTAACTAAGGTCAGAGGATAAAGGTTCCCTCCTGAAAAAGGCATGCATGGTTTGTCACACTGTGAGAAAGAGGATGGGGGGGGGGGATATAAAAGTTTTTCGTAGTGCTGTAACTCAGGAGGAAATAGGAGTGCCCCCCCCCCCCACACACACACACCAACACGTCTGTAAGGGAGACATCGCATTGCTAAAAAAAACTTCCACCTCTCCTTCCTCTTCCAAGGTTTATTGGTTTTATTAAATAAATCCGTCACTAAACCTTATTAAGTAACTTGAAATGACGAAAATGAACTAACTCCAAAACCTGAGGTAAGTATCGCATCATTAGGACTGGCAGAACTTTTCTTTTAAAAGCGAAGAAATTACCTTCTTTCGACGGACATTCAGATTAAGGAAGTCATCTGACAAACACCCCCCCCCCCTTTCGCCCCTCGATCAAAGGATCTCGGCGAGATCGGAATAGCCACGATAGTCATAGTAGCCGCTTTTTTAACGCCATGCAATATTGTCCCAGCACGAAGTTGTTTATTTTCAAGCTTATTTTGCAGAGTTGAGAGGATGGGAGTGAAGGTTAAAATGAAAACATGATATTTTATAGTCGTACCTACATCTGATCACACCAAGCAACCTAATTTAAATCACGCATGGGTGACATTTACAAGGAGAGTAACGCACTTCAAAAGCCATTCGTAACTTACCTGAATGCTCCGCTTCAGTCGGATGGAAAATATTTCGGATTTTTCGAATGAATTCTAAAGTGGATGAGGTTAAATATAATCACTACACATTTCATAACATACCTATGTACTAAGAAGAAAGTCCGCACATTTGAATTGTTCGAGAAGTTGCCGGCATTTTGAGAATTAGTTCCATTCCGTTCCATTGTTCCTTGTTATTCATTCGTTCCTTCTCTTTCGGAGTGGAAACATTTATTTGAGAACCAAAAGGAGCGTGCGCGTGTATTACAATCGGGTGTGAGAGTGTGCGTGCACAGTGTAGTAAACGTTGCACTAGTGTGACAGGAAGATCTGTTTCTTGTCTTTGTGTGAGTGTGAGTCGTAAGTTTACACTGTGAATTCACCGGAGATACAATCCAAAACAACAATGGACCGTGCTTTCGGATGCAGCAAATAATTTTACATAATTTCCCCAAATTAAACAGTTTCTTGTTTCTTATCATTTAAAGTTTCTTCATCCCTGTCAAATAAGTGTGGTCATTCCATTTTATATTGTGAAATCACCCTCTCAAGCTGATTTTTCTGATGGTCACTCATATTTATCAGGTTATAGGTTAAGAAAAAGTTTCATTTTCTGTACTTTTGTCCTCAAATTGTTGCTGTTTAATTTGCCTCTCTTGCTTTAAGTAGTTTCATCATCTTCATTGCAAGATATTGAATTTTCATTTCGTAAGTACCTCTTTCCTTCTTTATGGTTTCTAGTAGTGGATGGTTATTCATTCCTTCTTGAGTTCGCTAGTTGCAACGTCTTCTCATATCTTATTGCCGAAATGTCAGTACTGTTCCAAAGTTGAATGGTCGAAGCGCATAATTTTTCACATGATGTCAGATCATTTGCCGTGCCATTTTCAAACATATTGGGAGATGATGCTAGAGACTGAAAAAAGGGAAGCCGAACCCGCGAAACCTAGTGACCTTTTTTTTGCTCTTCATCTTTACGCCATAAAGAAATAATTTTCCTGGTTCCCTGAATTAATTCGTGAGCCTTAGCCTTGCTTATGTCTCATGGCACTGTATTTGAGCATCTGGCATCTTCTTTTCAAATGAACAATATTGTAAAATAAACAAGCGTTCTTAATCTAGATTCTATTATCGGGCATATTAAATGTGAAACCCTGAACTAACTCTTTATCACCAATGCACCAAAGAAATCAGTTTTTTATTTAAGGCAAGTAATCAGGTATCATCGGACTTCCAATGATCTGACTTATTCTCCCGTGAAGCACTTTTCTAATGTTTGCAGCCAAGTCTTTTTCCCATAACTTTTCAAGTGAATGCCACGCAGTAACTGCCAGTTACTCTAAAACTGAATTCTTCAGTAGCCTTTTGGATTATCATGAGTAATATTTACAAATTTAGCTTGGTCATTACTCAAGACAACACCTTAAATTTCGAGGTTGATATGAATTTTATGTTTAGCCAATACTCCGAATTTCTTGATAGTCCCAACTTGCACCCTTCCCATTCAACCTTAACTATGAATTATCTTTAACAATTGATTAAAAAGGATAATCCTGGAAACAAGAATTGGTGGAGTAATTGCTCCGGATACGTTGGCAGTTGTTTACTTCCTGGATGAAATTACTCTGCTGCTGTCATTCAACCGAGTTCAAAGACTGAGCACAGGCAGCAACATTGCTGCCATGCGCAGGTACTCAAAAGCATTTGGGTGCGACCATGCGCTAGGTAAGCATTGTAGGTGACGGTCAAAAGTGAGCACCTGCCATTTATCGGATGCAATCTCAACAGCATGCAAGAGGGAAGGAATAAACTTGCATTTTACTAAATAGTAATAAATTGATCAGTACATGATGACTGAAAATCAAAATATTGAAGACGGAAGTCCGCAATCACATATTTCGTTTGCGATGACTGAAAATCTCCGCCTCTATGTTATTTTTTTAATGGAGAACAAGTTGTCATCATTCTTTGAAGTTTTTGCAGAATTTTCTTTGCTCAGGGAAAAAAAATCACTGCAGTTTTAAAGAATTGCCGTTGAGTAGTTTTCTGTTTAAAAAATGAAGTATGACAGGAAGTCTGCGACGTCGCAAACCGAGTTATATGATCATCGACTTACACCGTCAAAATGTTTCAGTTTTCATTGAAAACAAGGCCTTTTCAAGTAGATGGAAGCTCTGAGCTCATTTCCAAAATAAACAGACTTTCCAAAGTTTTAAGAGAAGCTTTGAAATATGATGTGATAAGAAATAAGTTTGTACCAGTGTCATGATCAACCTACCTTCTTAATTGTAATTTCGCCTTCTTTTTGCAGGTCTATACTCTCACAATCTCAACTTTATCACATCAACAGTTAACAAAAACTTCTGGAATAAAATGTGCTCCAGTTGAACTGGTCTACCAATAGTTTTGGTTACATAAAAATCATTTCTTTTGCCTTCAAGGCACTCTCAAATCCAAGTCTTGCCTGCAAGAAATGCTCCTATGTCTGGTATGATTAGGAGCAAAGCTTGTGATATAAGGCACAAAAGAGGTCAAGGTGATTATCAAAGTGAGCCTGAAAGGAAAAGATTCAAGGAAGAAATTAATATGACTGATGCGGCCAGTCAAAAGGCTGCTAATTTCTCTGCTCTTCTCACGAGGCCGAATGGAGTTCAGAAGGGATCTTCTAATCTCAAATCAAGCACTGCGAAGAAATTAACTATTAAAAATTTCAAAGGTAATTTTTTCTTCAGCTACCTTTTCCATGTCAATTCATTGAAAATCTCCCTGATTCTACCGAGACTTTACCTATTCACAAAATTGATTTTGTGAAGTGAAAAGGAAAATCATTAAGGATTTATTAACCTACCAAGGTGAGGTACAAGCCTTCTTTCAAGACCTAATAAATTTGGTAATCTTTTGTCACCAAAAATTTGTCTACCTTTCATCCTCCAAACGTTGAAGGAATGGGTCAACCCTTAACTTCTATTTTCTTCGTCAGCTCAGTTTTCACCACTCAAAATGTCTCTCTGTAAGTATGATCTAAAACAACTAATGCCAAAATTGAGGAGACTGGTCACCTACTTCTAGACAAACCAATGCAATTAAGTAATTTTTTTTTCCTAATTTTCAGATAAACCAAAACTACCAGAGAACTACCAACAAGAAACATGGGAGAAACTGAAGGAAGCTGTGATAGCCATTCAAACATCTAAATCTATCAAATACAGCCTTGAAGAACTCTATCAGGCTGTCGAAAACATGTGTAATCATAAAATGGCTGCCACCTTGTATACAAATCTAGCAGGTAATTTTAATATGCTTGACAAAACAATGTGCATCGACACTTCTTTCTTTTAAGCATTAACTCCAATCATGTTGTCTTTTTCATCTACGTTACCATTAAGGTATTTCATTTATTTTTATAATATTTTTATTTTAAAAGGTGTATAGACAAAACATACAATGTCAAACCAAAATGTGTTTATTTGTACAAGTATATCAACAATGAAATAAAGTTGGTCAAAAAGGAAGTTCGATACTAATTCTTTCCAACTGTTACAATGCCGCAAAATGTTAGGGTGGGTCTTCAAAGTATTTAAAGCAGTAATTACTTCCTAGATTAGGCAGCGGATCATCAAAAAAATATCCACCTGGTTATAAACAGATGTACCACATGAAGTTTAATGCAGGTTTCAATTTTTATTTGTCAATACTGTTATGCTCATTTAATCTAGCCGTATTTTTGCATATTCTCTCGGATTTTCAAGATAATTCTGCTCTCCTCTCAGATTTTAATTTCATGGCTTTATTTTTTGTATTTTATTTGTTAACAGGTCTAATAGAAGCAGATGTGAAAGCCAGTATCGAACAATTCACAACAGATTCAATGGACAGATTAATTTTCCTGAAGAACATGAATGATTGTTGGCATGCCCATTGTCAACAGATGATAATGATCCGCAGCATATTTCTTTTCCTGGACCGTACCTACGTTCTTCATAATCCTGCCATTCATTCAATTTGGTAAGTCATGAGTTGCAAATGTAGCTCAGCATCAGTATTTTCCGAGACATCCACTGAAAATCGGAAAAAAGTACAGCTCCTAAATGTTGTCTCCTATGTACACTTGCATTTTATGAAAGGTTTCATTCACATAATTTGATAAATTACTGGCATGAATCTTCATTTCAACCTTTTTATATTAACTCGTCTCAGTGCATAAGCCTTGTAGCTCTTAGGAGGATATCTTTCTGACTATATCTCCAAGTGTATTATTTGGAGGATACTTCAGCTTATGCTTTTTTATTTTTATTTAAAAAATAGAAGGGTAAAAGAGGACACCCCTTTGCTTGTTGTATCAATACCTTGAGTGGAAAATATTAGTCAGTTCTATTGTCACTCTTCATGGATCTGATCTAAAAAAAATTGAAGAAAATAGTGGAAAGTTGAAATTTTACCTCTAACGAATGTGTGATGAAAAAATGTAAAGATCGGTCAGTTGAGAACTGAGTGCTGGTCTTTTGTACATTTATCATACACTTTTGTGACTGATTAGTATTCAGCACTTCCAATGTACCTTATCATGTGCTATTCCAATATTTTCTCAGGAAAAAATTAGTGACGTTCGATACAGCATGAAAAATTGCACATTCTTAAATCATTGCGCACAAGTCATTTCCTTAAATCAGGAATTTCCAACTTAATTAAAAAATCAAGTGAAAGATTCTCTGGTAACGCAAGAGACTGGTGCAAGTTTCTTATTATTTTCTGTCAGCAGGAAGGAGATCTCTGACATAAATTCATTATGTTAATATGTTTTGGTTTTTTCACAGGGATATGGGTCTAGAACTGTTTCGAACTCATATTGCGTTGAATACTCGAATCCAGTCAAGAATAGTTCAGGGCCTCTTGTATTTAATAGATCAAGAAAGAAGTGGTGATACTGTGGATAGGACTCTGTTAAAATCTCTGTTACGAATGCTTTCTGATCTACAAGTGTACAAAGAAGCTTTTGAAGTGAAGTAAGTTCTAGTGTTCTTTTTTTTAATTGATCTCCAATAGAAATGAAGTAAAAACATTTGTAAAATAAAATAATAGAATAAAAAATGAAATGCAAACATCCACAGAAAAAGAGTCTTGGTGTTTGAGTTTGTGATGCAATTTTACACTATTTGCTATCCCACCAAGTTTGACTCTAGACAGTCAGGTCCTCTTTTGGTTGATTGTCACAGTTGTCGGATAGAACTTTGGAACGGCTAAAATAATTCATTTTTTTTAATTTGTAGCCAAAATGTTTCAGCTGTATGTAGATGGAATTTGAAACTTAAATAAAATTGTCAAGTTCAGAGCATGAAGGTCTAAAGATTGGGGGCTGAATGCGAAAGATGGACTTTTCAATTTCGAAATTAAAAAAGCTGTGATTTTGTTTCATTCTATGCAAGGAAAACTAACCAAAATGTTTCCTCGCAATTTTGTGTGATTTTCTAAAAGGAGTGACGAAAATTCACAGCAAATAACAGGAACTGTCCATTAGTTTACCTTTGAATAAATGTAATCTAAACAAAGGCTTACAAAATAACGATCTTAGATACACATCTTTTGACCTTAGCTATCAATTTACAAATATTCTACAAATTTGCAATAGGTTACTGAATAGACAGATTACAAACAAGAATTGAAGCCATGGCTGCTAATCAACGGCATATGGTTTTCAAGACTCTCTTGCTAATCTAAAATGTATGTACAACAGTCAATTTTTATTGATTTTCTGGCCCTAAACTATTTTTAAAAACTTAACTTTATTGCTCTTATGAGGCAAATACAAAAAATGAATATCCCAAGGCTTTATGTTAAAGTTGTTTAAAGAAACAAAAAAGCCCAACAAAAAATTTCATGAACTAAAATTTTCCCTTTTAATAGAAATATTTATTTGTTTTTCTCTCTTCTTTTTTTCCTCTTCTTTAATTTTGATTGTTTTGATAAATTCTTCCTTAGATTTTTGCAAGCAACTGAACGTCTATATTCCGCAGAAGGGCAGAGATTAGTTCAGTCTCTCGATGTGCCAGAATATCTTCACCATGTAGACAAAAGACTTTTAGAAGAAAAAGAAAGAATTTTACATTATCTGGACTCTGCTACCAAGTAAGATTGCAGTTGTTTTTCTTTTTCTGTCTCTAACTTTTGACCAAGGACAGATCCTTGTTTTTCAAGCCTCTACTCTGAGGATTCTAATGACTTTTAGGGACAAAAGGTAGCTTTTTCCTCACCATGCAGTTTCTTCACACCATGGTCATTATTTTTTATGGTTTATCATGAGAGATGGAGCCTTTGTCTCCAGAAAAATATTCAATGAAGCTATTTTTGCTTAATTGGCACAAACGCTTAGGTTTAAAGTAGAGAAATCTGACTAGTTTCCTGTCGTATAACTAGTTGTAAACATATTTTACATTTTTCTACGATCAATATGTCTAGATGTTTTTCTCTCCTGCTAAGATTTGTGTTTATTCCCTTTTTTTTTCATAACAATCTCGATTCAATGTATAGTTTTATTAAATCTATTTTGGGTGTTTTGTTTTTGTTTACATTTGAACCAACAAAACAGCGAAACGGAACAATGTGAGCACCCACTAAATCCGTCTATTCAAACCAATAGATACTAACTAATTGAGTTGACCCAATATACATGTATGTTTACTCATGATGTGTAATTTTTCAGAGTACCTTTGATTCATACTGTGGAATGGCAGCTGTTAAATGGTCATCTTAACACCATATTACAGAAAGGACTGGATAACTTACTAGAAGAAAATAGAATCCAAGACCTCACACTTCTTTACAATCTTTTCAAGAGAGTTAAAAAAGGATTAAATGAACTTTGCAGTAGCTTTAATGCTTATATTAAGGTATTTGAAATTAATTCATTAATTTTATTCTGATCTATCGAAAAACATTGTCAATGAATTCTGCTTGCCGCTTGATGCCCGGAACTCTTGCATGCCATTAAGAGTTTGATTTAATCACTTTTTCTTTTGTAAAATTTTGAAAGAAACACAAAGTTGATTTCTGTGAAATGAACTCCCAAGCTCAAAAAAACTCTTAAATTTGAGGCGGCAATGGAGGAAATTCCGTCGGCTACACTTAGAATCCACCTCTGTATCCAGTTAAACTCTTCATTTACCGATAGGGAGCAAATACATCAGTAGGGTTGCCACTTTGTTTAGGGACTCCAAGGTTAGAACCACAGCAACCCTGCTAGTGCATTTACTCCCTATCTATACATGGAGAGTTAGACTGAATGTAAAGGTGGACTCTCAACGTGGCTAGGGATCCCCTCCATTACAGCCTCAATTTTTATTTTCCACAACAAGGCTTTTTTTGAGCTTGGAAGTTTGTTTTAGAGAATAACAGTGCCACCATCGTGTTTTTCACAGAATTTTATATCCGAGGAAGTACTTAGATTGTAAATCCCTGATGCAATCAAAAGCTTACTTGTTTTCCTTCCTGATTCTTTTTAAATTAAATGTAACTATTGATGTACAGAGTATATCTTGCCCCTTTTTTTTTTTGCATCCACAGGGTCTTTAAAATTAATGGAATTTCAAGATTCACTTTTTATCACTTCGTATCACTATTCTTTTTGTACTCTCGGACATTATTTTGATTATCCATGCTCAGTGTTTCAAGCTAAAAACCTTGAAGTACGGTTTTAGAAGCACATATTATGAAATTTATCCCTTGGAAACTCTAGAAATATCTCAATTGGCGAAAAACACTATTCCTCAAACTTGTAATAGTTACATGGAAATAGTCCTCAAAAGCTTATAACCTCTTTTAGTTGATCTAATTTCACATGTCACCTCTATGTTGCAGAAAACTGGTCGAACCATTGTGATAGATCCAGAAAAAGACCGAACTATGGTTCAGGAACTTCTGGACTTTAAGGACAAGATGGATCAAGTCATTATTACATGTTTTCAGTCCAATGAAAAATTTAGTAATAGTTTGAAAGAAGCATTTGAATATTTCATCAACCAGAGAGCCAACAAACCTGCCGAGCTTATAGGTAATGGACAAATACCTTGGATCATGAAAATTCTGTCTTTATTTGTTGCATGACAATACACAATGAAATCAAAAAGTCTTAGTTTGGATCCCAAAGCAGTTATTTTAGGAAGACTTCTATTAACAATTTATAACGCCTGCTCAGAAACACAAAACGCAAAACAGAGGGGGAACAAATGTTAGTCAATAAATGTTAGTCTTTTATAAATCTTGCAAGTTCCTAAGTGTACATATACACTTAAGTGCCAAGTTTGGCTGGCTAGTTTGGTTTGACATGATCAATGATTAAAAAATCGAGCCACAAGCCAAAATAAATAATAGAATATAGTATTTCAAAAGACATGTAGATGAGAAAAAATGCAACTTTCAAAAAACAAAGCAGACGTTTCAGTTTCATTCCTAAGTGTGCCGGGTGTTCCAGACCACCGGTTTACTATCTTTTTCTCAGTAATTGCCGAAAATTGAGCTTCACAACGAAAACTTCTAAGGTTAAATCAACCCCAAAGAATTCAATTTATCAGCATAAAGAAACAGAGATCTGGAGATATTTTTTATCATCTTCCTCAAAATTTTAAGAGAAATAGTGTGGATCCAGCACTATTTTACCACCTAATTACAATTTTACTTTCCAACATTAAATAACAGGATCAATTGCACAGGTTGCATCTTCAGGGCTCCTCGCTGCGCTAATCAAAACCATTCTCATACCAAATTGAGTAATCTTTGAAAACAGCCTACTGTTGCCCCATGTCTGATTGCAGAAGATAGTGGCAAACTTGTTTCTTTGAACTGCACCAATAGAGGAATCTCGTCAATTGGACCACCCTTAGCCTACAGTCACAGCCTATCTTCACTCTGCCACGGAATCATACTTTAACTTTTAATTTTTTCTTCCTTTTTCCAGCAAAATTCGTTGATTGCAAACTAAGAGCTGGTAACAAAGAAGCTACAGAGGAGGAACTCGAAAGGTTATTGGATAAAATCATGGTTCTTTTTAGGTTTATTCACGGCAAGGATGTTTTCGAAGCTTTTTACAAGAAGGTAATAATCTTGAACTGTTAAATATCTTAAAAACCTTATATACATATGACACCCGACGCCATTCTTTGGTATTGAAACATACTTTAAAACATGGAGGAATTTTCATGATTGAAGTTGTTTGATATTGTAAGTTTAGGCTTTCAAAAACTGAAAAATTAGTCATTTATATGATTCATGTGATAATCTGCCACATGATTTTTTATTTGAGTCCCACTAGTAAATGACTTCAAATTTCCTCCATTTCATGTGTGTGGTTGATGAGTTTAGTAAATGATTCCTCTCAAAATTATGATTTTTCTTCGTTGTTTTGGTACTTACTATCCTTTTTTCTGCTTTTTTTTTCTTTACTAAGCGAAGAAGGAGAGTCTATACGGAGTACTTTTTTTTTTTTTTCATACACTTTTGCCTTGAACCCAGATTTCAGAGAATATGGATGGTTAGAGGCCTGACTGGATAGGGAAGAATTGGAACAGGAGTTGAGCCTTGGGCAAGAAGTTGTGTACGTTGGCGCGAGATTGCGCAGCGAGCGTGATTCCCATACTACTGCGCTGATTGGCCAAGCGAGAGTTGCGGAGAGATGATATATGAAAAATTGCCTATGTAGAGGTGGTCCGGCTGGAACATACCCACCGCCTGTCACTGGAAAACAATAGAAAATAGTAGTTGTGCTCGTTGCATGCAAGCGCTTCTGTTTCAATTTCTTAGCATTAACACGAGCCTCTGACTTTCCATATTCTTTACTAGATTTTTATGAAGTCCATGTGTTAAATGGAAGCTGGCTTGTGACCATGGCAATATTTTTCCTCCAAAAGAAATGTTTCAGCATGATTTACAGACTGTTTTATCTGTTTCAGGACTTAGCTAAGCGACTTCTTGTTGGCAAGTCAGCAAGTGTAGATGCAGAAAAAAGTATGCTGTCTAAATTGAAACAAGAATGTGGTGGTGGATTCACTTCAAAGTTGGAAGGAATGTTCAAAGATATGGAGTTAAGTAAGGATATTAATGTCGCTTTTAAACAGGTAAGATCTTCATTTTCTTTTTTTGTGCTCTTTGCAACTCGCCTATCAATTTCAGATAGATCAAAATAAAGCTCAAATGATGTAAATAAAAAAAAACGAGAATGGGTTTCTTAATTGCTGCGTTTCAGTATGTTTTCTCTCATTGTAGGATAGGTCACAAAAAATTTGAAAAGTCATTCTCCAACACAATTACAAGTTAATATCCATTTATGATGAAGTCAGCCCCAAAATTTTGCAACAAAATTTGTCAGTTTCCTATCCTCTGAATGACCTAGTCTTTTAATTATAATACACTATTTGCGCACCTTCAATGATTAATTGTCATGAGGTAGGTTGGAAAGAAAAAGGATTAGAAATTGCTCATTCATTCTTCAACTAGAATGGTTTGAGGATGGAATTAAGTTGGTGCTCCTGCTTTGTTTTACTAAAGCTAATGATCAATTGATCATAGCCAAGGTGATGTCATGGCTCTGCATTATTCAGAGCATTATCACTGCAGAGGGAAAATCTCATCCAGAGCATAATTTCCCTCTTGGAGTCATGCCGTTTGGCGCATCACCAGTTATGTCCAATCACAAAGCAACTTAAGAAACGTTTTGGGTTCAACTGAACCCATCATTAGCACAGCACAGTTCTCCGATTTTCTACTTCCACTCACAGAGAGATCTGAAAATTTAAACGGAGACTTTGGCAAGCAGACGTGGCAGCCAGCAAGCCAGTACGAAGACCATTATCGAAGCACGAGGATTGCAAGCTGTAATTACAAAGCATAAGCAGTAGAGGAACCAGTTAACAGACATTAATTGGTGATCACACGATCATAGCCAAGGTTCTTTGTTTTGGCCTAAAATGTGTCCATCTTGACTTAAATGAATTCACCAGCTGTATATTTTTGATGTATTCGTTTTTTAGCCACTGGCACCTAATCTCATTTCTTTCCCTTTTTTCTTTGTTCAATGTAGTATATTAATAATTTGCCCTCAACGGGAAATGCTTCAAATGAGGTGCCGTTAGACTTAACTGTAAGTATACTAACAATGGGATACTGGCCTACGTATCCAGTCATGGAAGTAACTTTGCCTCAAAGAATGGCCCATTACCAGGATCATTTCAACAAATTTTATCTTGTCAAGCACAATGGACGCAAACTTCAATGGCAACCCACTCTTGGTCACTGTGTCCTTAAAGCAACTTTTACTCAGGTAAGCTTCAGTTCAATTAATTGAAAAAATGCTGAAGTTAATGACGAAACAAGGGTAATAATTTAATCAGAGAGAAATTCTCACAAAATAATGTTGGAGTGAAAATAATTCAACAAAAATTAAAGGAAATAATATCCTAAGCAACCCCCAAAAAATCATCTAAAATTGTTACTGTAAATCTTTGTTTTTTGGGCTCCCTCAGAGCTGGCAAGTTTTTCTATATGGATAATAATCTCATAGGAAACTCCATAGCTTTTCTGCAAGCCATTATCGGCTGAGGAGTAATGAAACTTCAGCAAAGTTGGTATTAGTAAGATGTAATTCAGTGCAATGCCTATGAGTTATGATCTTTGCTACACAAAAGCGCAGTGGGGTAAGCGGAAATCTTCTTTCTCACTCGCACTTAAACTGGATGCCCTTTGAGCCCATGAGTAAAAAGAATACTGAAGCTTGCAGCTTGTAGCTTGCTTCACCTAATTTTGTTGCACATGTCGATCCAAAGGACAGCCAGGTAATATGCAAGTGAGGAACAAGAGTTCACTGCATGTCACTACAAAAGCTAAGTTTCGATCGAAGGATAAGTCATTTTCATGGAAAAATGCAAATTTGAGGAAAGCCTCTGCAAAAATTGACTGGACCGTTCTTTCTGAAGAACGCTAAGAAAGAAAACAAAAAAAAAGAAGTTCTTTTCAAAAATGGCCATAATTCTCCAATATTTGACTCCTTAAAATGAGAACAAGTTGATAATTTGTTGCAAATTTTTCCTTTAATCTCACATCTCCCTTCATTTCTTTACTTTTTCAGGGGAAAAAAGAACTTGTAGTCTCTTTGTTTCAAGCTCTGGTTCTTCTTCTTTTTAATGAGTCTGATAATGTCCCTTTCGAAGACATCAAAGCTGCAACTAGTATAGAGGTAAGATTTGAGAGGTCTTTGACTCATCTTCATGCCTTTGTTTTACTTTTTTTTTTTTTGAAACTCTTTCTGCTATAAAATGGGCCTGTTGCAAACTTTTGCTAGAGCAAAAATAAGAGTTGTTTCTTGTAGATAATGCCTCAAAAATCACGATGAGCGCATCGGCAAAGTCTGAAATGCACTCATAACTTCACAATCTGCGTAAGAAATTTGCGTTTTTTTAAGCTTCCCGCTTCAAAAACGATACTACGGTACAGGTGAACATTTTGTTAGAGGAGTCGCTCCATCGTCGGCGATATTCATCATGGCCGACGCTTGCGCGCAGTTCCGTGCGTAATTCGAGGAGAGTTCAAGGTCAATCAATTCGGGCGTGGAAAATATGAACGTTAACACACCGATTGTTATCTGGTCTAATCCAGTTCAGGTGTTATCTCGTCCCATCAAACGTGTTTTGGCGGATTGGCGTCGGCCATGATGATTATTGCCGACGATGGAACGACTCCTCTTACAAAATGTTCACCTGTGCCGTAGTATCGTTTTTGAAGCGGGAAGCTCAAAAAACCGCAAATTTCTTACGCAGACTGTGAAGTTATGAGTGCATTTCAGACTTTGCCGATGCGCTCATCGTGATTTTTGAGGCATTATCTATAAGAAACAACTCTTATTTTTGCTCTGGCAAAAGTTTGCAACAGGCCCATTATATCAGGACTGAAAAATCAAAAGCATACGTATGACCTAAACATCAATGGAGCAATCTTCAAAATTCCGAACGAAAGCAGTCAATTTAAAATTACCATCTTTGAAGGCAAAAATACCCACATTCAGAACGTCAAATGACAAAACCGGTTTAAAAAATGTAAAGGAATAAAAAGAGAAATGTCGTTCACGGACAGAAAATTGTATACAAACATTGAGGGGACGAGGAAGAATGAATATTACATTAGTAACATTTAGATTGAGGACCCCTGAAGCACATTTCATTGGGTGAAGATTGGAGTCCTATTCACCAAAACATTAAGCTCTAACATAATCAGCTGGCTCTTACTCCTTTAGACAGCTCTCTCTCTGTTCCTGGAGTAGGGAAACATAGTAAAATAAATAATTAAAACATTTCAAAGAATCCAGCCCTTGAACGATGGCAATTCTAGCAAGTTGGCAACACAGTTAATACTCTATTTAAATCCATTGAATATATTCACTCTACGTCAGAAAGGCATCCTTGCTTAGAATTGTTTGTTTAACATACACTTAAACGGAGAAAAACAGAGTTGCTAACTCGGAAGAATCACTGTTGCCTTCGAATAACCCATGATGACTGCCTTCGGAAGCTCAGTCCCGGGAGATTGAACTGAAATCGTTTTTAATGTTTTTCAGGATTCTGATTTGAGACGGACTCTTCAGTCGCTAGCTTGCGGTAGAACTCGTGTTCTCTCCAAAATTCCCAAAGGAAGAGATGTAGATGATGGTGATAAATTTATGTTCAATCCTGATTTTACCAACAAATTGTTCCGTATCAAAATTAATCAGATCCAAATGAAAGAAACGGTAAGTTTTTGTATTTTTCTTTTAGCTCGAATTTTTTTTTATTTTTTATTCTCAATCGTAAAGCTTGTTTTACAGCAATCTTGAATGATTAACATTTACACATATATCAAGCCGCTACCTCAGCGCACTAGTGCGCTCTGCGCCTCCCAATTGCCCCTAGAATCGATCCTCCATGATTAACATAACCCTGTCAATTCTTTGTCGTGCCATGTTTTGAGGGGTGTTACAATGGATTTCTGGATATTTTATAGGCTTAAACTCATTTTTTATTCAGTAGCTAACGACCACTTATTTTGCATGCTTGAAGGAAAAACAATGTGCAATTTTTACGTAGCATAATAATGCATTGAAATCAAGGCTTTGCAACTAGAGATGTTGATACTCAGGGAAGTATCAATACTCGGTATCGATACTGGTAACAACTCTAAGCATCAATACCGGTATCAAGCATCGAGCTGAAGTATCGATACTTTTGAGGTATCGATACTGTCTCTAAATTATGCTGTAATACGGACTGTGTGTATGTCAGTTGGCCGCTTACTTCCGCCAGATTTACGCTTCTCTCGAAACCGCCCTTATCCACCTGCTTAGTCAACTATTATGAGCCCTTTATTACTGTTATTGAACCAAGCTTTTAATATTGTTAATGAAAGTAATCATCTTGAGAAACCTGATTACTCCGTCGCTTGTCACAATGCATAGTGAAGGTAAAACAGAAGAGAGAGAAGTTGTTAAAAAAGAAAAGGAGGCCTTCTTCATGGCCAAATCAGATTAAGTATTGATATCATCGATAACGGGGTCTGAGGATCGATACCACACGGTATTGATATTGTTGAGTATCGATGCCAAGTATCGATGAGTATCGATCTAAAGTATCAATACTTTGGAAGTATCGGTTAAGTATCGACAACCCTATTTGCAACTCTATATACTTGTTTAACATTTTATTTGCCTGTTTTTTGACAGCCTGAAGAGCAAAAAGCAACAGAAGAAAGAGTTTTCCAGGATAGACAGTATCAAATAGATGCAGCAGTTGTTAGGATTATGAAGATGAGGAAGTCACTCTCTCACAATCTTCTAATTAGTGAATTATATAATCAGCTTAAGTTTCCTGTCAAAGTAAGTGAAAAGTTATTCTTTGTTTTTGGGATCTTTAGAGTTGGTAGCAACTGGAAAAAGTCAAGGTTTTTTTTCTTTCTTTTTAATAGGCAGGAAATAGAGATTGGATGCTAATATCGCTATTTTATCATTATAGACAGTCTGGCAGGCTGATTAATTTGCATCGATAACTCAAATCAATTGCTGACATGAGTAAACGGCTGAATCATAGAAAAGATTTGGGTTGGATTTGGTTTCAAGATTGCTCAAATCCAAATGTAAATCAATTAATCCTTTGAAAGCAACGTCTTGCAGACATGAATGGTTCAAAGCCATGTGCATAACATTAATATCATGCTCTGAAACTAACAAAGTCTGCAAAAATTTTCTCTTGGAAGCCGCCAGGAAATTCTCGGGTCCTCTAGTAGGATTGGAATACTCTCCATTTTGCCTGTAAGATGAACAGTAAATCAAGAAAAATTATCTTGAATAATGGCAACATGCACAATAATTTGAACTCGTAAAAATTATTTCAGCTCACGTATTAAAAACTAAGTTTTGATTTTAGAATTTTTTCGGATTCAATCCAACTCTTTGATGTTATTAAAAATATTGTCAATTACAGATGTATTCAATCTGTTCTGTTCAGAATATGAAAAAGTGGTTGAAAGTCACTAATTTCTTTCACGGAATAGTCTAAAAGGGCTTGATACTTTTCCTTAAGACTTCAAAAACTATTTCATCCTAGCTACTTATTAATCCCCCAATTTTTCTTTCCTCCCTGCTTTTAAAACTGTAATGTTATTTCAGTGGAAAAGACCTCATCATCCATAGTTACAAAATTAGATTTGTGTTTTCGTACTGATGAAAACTCTCATTCGGAAAGATGAATAGTATTGCTACAGAATGGAGAATCTTCTTCCTATAGCAAAATACTTCAGCACTCAATACTGCCACAAAATACAAAACTGCGGTTCAAGAACATTTTTCTTCTCTAGATTGCGATATTTGAATTGCATATCTCATTCTTGTCCTTACTGAAACCTGTTGAATTCCTCGAGTTTTTAATCTTTGTTTGTGTTCTTTTTCAGCCTGCTGATTTAAAGAAAAGAATAGAGTCATTGATAGACCGAGACTACATGGAGCGGGACAAAGACAATGCAAATCAGTATAACTACATGGCCTAGTCGGTAACTTCACCCGTACACTTCTTTCCTCTCTTGAGGAAATTTTTTGGATCAGCTGTAAAAACTCAATGATAACGATGGAGTCATAGATTGACCATAACTGTTCTCTTGAGAATCAGTTTCTGTAAAACCGCATGGCCTATTTGCTGTTTTTACCTGCAGTTTATTTTTTCAATACTAAGAGATATTTTTGAGTCTATCTTGAGAACTAACAATTAGAATAACTCTTGGTATAGACCTAGAATGCGATGAAACGGACAAAGACAACATGAATTAGTACAACTTTATGGCCTAATCGCTATCTTCACCAACGCTTTTCTCTCACTCCTTGAGTGGTACCAATTAGATCTTAGGATGAAAAACTGAGCAGTCACACAAAATTGAAAAGTGTATTTAAATCCTCTGTAATATCAATTGGATAGAAATCTGTTGATAAAAAAATTTAAAATATTTTAAAAAAAGGAAAAAAAATAATTTGTATAAATTCTGTACTTTAATACCTAATTATAATAAACATTTTTCTTAAGGTAAATTAGCGTCTTCATTTATTTATTTTTTTATCTCTGAATAATGGACCACTGGACTAGGTATAAATTTAAAAACCCTGATACGAGTTTCCTCTTCAAAATTTCAGGAAGAAAGAACATGATTCATGCAACAAAAATTATTAAAATCAACTCGTAACCAAGATATTAACGTTTTTGACCAGCTTTGGTTATGACTTACTTGAATTTCTCGTTCACAAGATGTACCGAAGTCAACATGAATAAAATAGCGCACTATAACGGTTCTTGCCGGCTTCATAGTGTTCCTTCCTTAACCTGTGTTTTTTAAATTGTAAGCAACATGTCATACCACGGAGATTAAGATTGTCTTATTCTCATACCACTGAGACTGATATGGTGAAGTTTAGTTTGTAAATTAACTCAAGATAATGGTTTTTTTACCAGCAAGAAGCTAGAATTTATGCATCAAGAAACGTTAATATCTTGGTCAAAAATTATGCTTTTTCAATAATTTTAATGGCTTAAATTGTGTTCGCAGTGAAATTTTGATGAGAACATCTACCACAATACTCAAATTTCTGCTTTGTCTCAAGGATCACATTTTTTCATTCATTCTTTATCCATAACCTGAGACACTTTTGATTTAGTCAAAATATTAATTAACGTCGACTAAGGACAGGTCTTAACCTCTATGTCAAGGCAGGATGCCTTAATCAAGGCTTCCTTGAAGAAACCGAATACCGCTCTACTGAAGCCAATGTAAATGTATGTTGACGACCACTGCCCTCAAGATGTACACTATTAAGCGGACCTATAGAGATTGGCACTTTTGATCGGCGTTATTGTCTAATACGGCATTAACGCCATGGTATCACAAAGAAAATAATTATGTGCACAAAACGCGTAACAAGGAGGCCTACCTATGTTCAAGTGTCAAAGAGTTATTAAGTTAGTTCCTGTTGGTTGGAAGGTTGTGCCAGTAACTCAGGCCCCGCTGTTTGGCTTGTCGGAGCTCTAACCCCTCCAATTTCGTTTTATATCACTCTAGCTCCCGATACAGGAGAGGAAAATATTACCGCTCATAGGGAGATTCAGATATATCAGGGACCCTCATGCGGAAGCACTTACTCAAGTTGAAAGAAAAAAAATAAGTGACGAGAGAAAAATGAAACTATCAAACTAAAAAGTAATGCTTAATCAAGGGATATCTATTTCCCTATTTGAAAAACCTGCAAAGGTGAAGTAATTTTTTTTTTTCTTCCTTTCTGTTCTTTTATGCATAATTTCAGATCAGAATAATTGACTTGAGTGTTAGAGGCTACAAGTATGTACTTTTACTGGACTTCAAAATTGAATGACCGCTGCTCTTTTAAGAACCATTCAAGAAAATAAACGGGTTTTTGTTTACACATCTTGAATTCGTAAATTCCTTCAAATAGGGAGCATGTGCTGAAAAAAAAATTGTTAAAAAATTGTATTTTCTTTATCGGTAAAGATTTCGTTACGTCATAGGTATAAGCTACAAGTTACCATTATGTCCGGAGGTGGCTGGTGGCTACCGCCACCCATGATATTTCGTTCCCGAGATCCGCCCTTTTGAAAATACCGCTTTCGGCTTTCCGCTTTTTGATTGGTGCAATGCAGCGGTAGCGGCACGAGCTATCGCGCATGCGCATAGAGGATTCTCATTTCTTTGTTATTGTTTTGGTCCTCAAAAATTTTTGTGTTTTACGAGTGCATGCGTTTCTCCTCTTATTGAAGTGTTTTCTATTATCACAAGTTTCTTATCCTGTCAGCGGTCAAGCAAATCTCCCATCAGCGGAAAGAATATATACTTCTCCATTTTCATAGGAAGCTCGCCGATGGCTGTCATTAACTCATTACACTCTATTTTTGAGGCAGGAATTCTACTGAGGTTCAACTAACTCGTATCGGCGATGGTTGCTCTTTTTTGTCTCCTCGGAAAATTCTACTGAGATAGCGAAAGTAATTTCAAATAATGACAGAGTGCAGTGCTTTCAAGTCCTTAAACCAGCTACTCTCTCCTGTTGAATCAAATAGCTACACCACTTGTTATTGGTATGTTGCGTGAAAGTACTACCCTTTATTTCGGAGTAGCCTGTACTCCTCATTTCACCGTATTGTTACAGTTTCTTCCCTTATGTACCAAGTTCATGGTTCACATCTCATCTCAAACCATGTGACCGAGTCCAGGCTAATGAACTGTTGGCCTTTTAGGAGTTGCGTTGTCGAAGGCAACTGTTTGGAATCGGAATTACCCAATTCGAAACGCTTGGTGTTGTTGGACTACGTTAGTATTACCCCATGACTTGTGTGTTTACCTATGAAAGCCTAATGCTTTTACCAAACACTCAATGACATTAAGAGGTTGATGGGATTGCGTGTGCAAACATAAGAACCAAACGGAATTAGTCAAGTTTACTTCGACAACGCACCTATGGTCAAATGAAAATATGTTTGAAATTCACATCATGTATGCTGGCAGTGGTATCTTTTTTTTGCTTGTAGAGAGCTGAAGAAAGGGAACATCGATGCTCCTGGCTGCGTTCTAGACAGCTTCTGATTGAAATTCGGCAGGATTTTTTGTAAGTCTTACCTTTGGAGCTCAGGACTGAATCTCTGCTAAACACTCAACTCCATCCCACAAGGAGGAAAAAAAGATTTTGGTTATTTACCAGAGATGTGTTAGTTTGTTAGTGGGTGAAATTTTGTTCAAATTTAGCATATAAACAACAAAAAAGCCGTAACTAAGTTAATGAAAATTTGAATTTTCTTATTTGTATTGCATTTTGCATTTTTAGCACTTGCCCAATAATTTTTTTGTGGTTTTTCAGTGAAGAAAACGTATGGAAGTTGTGTGAAAAAGTTAAACTGAACAATGAAGCGCACCTCGACAAATGTTATGCTGTTTTCATCTCAAATCCAAATCAAACTGTTGCTTTACGAAATCAAAAAGCTGGACACAATAATGAAGGCCTGGTGGTTTGGGTTAGTATTGTTTGTCTCTCCTGAACTTAGTTCATTGGACCACTACCCATTAGCTCAGTATAACAAAAATATTGGAATAATTGTTAATCAGTTGCAATTAACGATCAAAAATTTCCTTTTTTTCTTTTGCCCACAATGTATCACATAATAAGGACCAGTTGAAAAAGAAGCTGCCTCTCCCAACCCTGCCAAAAGGGGACTCAACACATTCATCCCATCTGAAGATATTTCTCTCAAAAGTAGAAACATTCTCAATGTTTCATTTCTCTACTCATAATCAATCACAAACTGCAAGGGGTAGAAGAGACTTCTAGGACACCTGTACATATATTGGATTTGACATGACCTAGTTTTTCATATAATTAAATTTCTGCCACCCCTAAAAATGGAACAGCAGTTTAAAATTGACATGGGGACTTCGTTCACCCACCATACTGTTTAAAAGACTGAAAGTTTGGCTAGCACATATCCATGTCCAACAGGTGCCTAAAATTTGAGCTGGACAACGGCACTCGCTCTCAACATTTTTTTCACCGTAATGATGTAACAATTTTACAATAGTTTCATTGTAAGCACCCACCCTTGTGTATATTCATTTTTGATGTTTCTCATTGATGTTTCTCAATTCTTATCGTTTGTATGTGTTTTTGTTTCTTAGGACTACCATGTTATATTCCTAATTGTGTGCCCTGATGATGGATGTTTCGTATTTGATTTAGACTCTTCTCTTATGTTTCCGTCCAGCTTTGAAACTTACATAGAAAAAACTTTTTATTCATCCACTAGTTTTAGTGAACAGTTTATTAGGTAAACTATTCTGTCTACTTTTTCTACTCTGATTAAGGCTCTGGGTAAAGGAAAGCTGTTTCTCAAAAAACCTTGTTTTGAGATTCAATGGATTCAAATTTTAAAGTTTGTTCCTATCAACTTATTTGGCCAAACTTAAGTCTATTTTCCATCAGAATATAAGTTCCACAAAAAATACTGATGGTTGCAATCTTGACGGTAATGTTGTAATTTAAGTAAAGAATAAAACCTACTGGTTAAAGTGGCCTTCCTGCTTTAAGAGAGACAAGTAATTTCAAGAGATTTCTCTTTAGGCCATACCAAGGCCACAATTTGTCCTCTCAAAAAATTATGCACGAGATGAACCCTTCATGAGATATTTTCGAGGAACCAACATAAGGCTAGCACTCTCCCATAAAAACGCATGTTCATCGATGGCCGCAATTTATCTACTAGTGTGCCGTCACAAAAATGTAGGACTGCCCGCAGCCAGCCGACCACACTGCCAATGTGTCATTATTGTACGGTTCCGATGTGACATGTATACATACCGAATATGTAGGCACCGTCTGCTGCAAAGTAATTTGTCTTGTTTGCAATTACTATCCAATTTGATTCTTAATTACTTTCTTTCACTAATTTTTCTCCCTTTTTTCCAGCTTCTTTCGCATGGTAAATGCAACAGATTATTTAGGAATGTTCTCTTCGGATCGTAGACATATGAAGGAACCTAATGGTACATGGATTTCACCTCCACCAACCTGGCCTCCCATTAAAGCCTTGGGTATGTCCTTTGTAGGTCTGGTTACTCTTACTCTAATTTTTCCCTCTCACGATGACCTTTAATCGATATATCAGGGAATGGTAGAATCATTGAAATTCATTGTTTCTTTTTGAATATTTGTAATTGTTTAATGAGCAAAAAAATGAGTTACCTCCTATCTAATTGTAAGTCAAAATGCTAAATGATTAAAATCTACTTGGATACTTGGCTGTCAGCACCGTTTCAGTGATAAAACCAGTCTGAAAAGTTACATACTGAGTTATCATTAACCATTGAAATTTTTAAATTGCCTATAGATTTTCTAATAATTATTTATTCTATTACCTGAATACTACTTTTTCGTCCAGTTTTTCTTGATTTCTGAGTCAGGCTATGTACATTTCAGAATTTTCTTCCTTCTTCAGGCTAAAATTTTGATGGTTGTCTAGCACTCTTTCCTTGTGCGCACTCGATGGTATGAGAGACACATTAAAATATAAAATATCCGAAACATAAAAAATAAAAATAAGCAGACTAAACAAATTGACTGTAGTAACGGCACTGGGTCACGACCGATTTCTTTCTTCTCTTTGAGTAAGAAATCGGTTGCGACCCCGTGCGGTTACTACAGTCAGTTGGTTTTACTTTTAGTCTACGTCTTTTTATTTTTTATGTTTCCATCCGGTAAAATGATAAAACCACTTAATCTATTCATTCTTTGTCAACGTAACATTTGTTCTCAGGCTTCAAAAGCAACTGAAAGGAAATCTCTTGGGAGAATTTTTTTTGTGAAAAGTGAGAGTATCAAGCAGAGTATCTATAGGTGGGGGAAACAGGGAATTTTCATCAGGCTAGGAAAATCGTATGAAAGTGTGATTTTCATTAGAGGAACTGGAAATTTTAAAAACCTCCAGACTCGAAATCTAGAAAAATATCGGTGCTGTCCAACCCAATCAAACCAGGTCCCAGTCTAGTTCAGGGTTCAATGCTGTGATTTACATTCTAAACACTGTCGTTTACGGGAGAACACTGTATGAACATTCAAGAGTTGCCAATTTTCCTTTGATAAAACATGCATTTTAAAGGAAAGTAATGAATATTTTTCCTTCAAATTTTCAGGAGCTACAGGTGAAATTGCGAAAAAATTATCTGAAAAATTAGAAGGAAAATATTCACAATTTTACCATGAAATTTGTGGCTTATCAAAGAGAAGGCAACACCTGGAGGTTCATTCAAAGTTTTTCCTCAGCACTGCAGAATAGTGAAAAGCGGAATGATTTTCAACGAGGAACTGCAGTTTTATTCAATTGAGTGACTTGTACCAGGAGAAACTGTCATATGTTTCGGTAATTTACAGTGAAACAAACGCCAAAAACTTTTCATTTCCTAGCTTGCCTAATGTCGACATGAAAATTCATGGAATTTAGGAATTTGTTTAGGTATAGAAATCTGTCAAAGTCAAGAAATTCTTCCTTGCTAAATTTATAGACACTTTGTTCAGGATGGAAACATTCAATTGTTCATTCATATATGTGTCCTTTTTTTTTTTTTGCAGATTGTGATTTTAATCTAGACGAATACACAGATATGAATTCTTCCAAAAAAGGCAAGGTTCTCAGTCTTGCTGGATTCAAAAGCGAAGTAGCATCCTTGCTTAATAGCGAAGAGCAATTTTGACAAAGTGCCCAATTTCCTAGTTAATTTGTTCTTTCCTCTTAAAATTGTTTAATTTAAGCTCACAACCGTTATGGATCACTCACGAAAGTTGACTTTACCTTGGGATTTTTTAGTCGTGCGACGGAGCCGTACAGACTACAGGTTTTGCCGAAGGCGCCCAAAAAATGGCTAAACTTTCAGGCTAAGTCCACACTGAAAATTTTACATTTTTTTTTAAAAGAGAAAAAGATAAAGTTGCACGATTTTTACAACACTATAACTATAATGTGTGGGTTTCCTTGTACTAAATATGATCTATGTCATTGACTTACTGAAGTATTCTAAAAGGATCTGGAAAAACCCATTTTCGCAGAGGCTTTCAAGCAGTGTTCTTTTGAAAGCACTTTAAAAATTTGTATGTTATAAGTTTTATTTGACCTATCGATAAATTATGGGTTTTATAGCCTGTATTATGTTAGTCTTTCCTTTCAAATCATCTCCTCATACATGAGTTGTAGTACAGTAGAGCCTTTTTTATCTGGCATCAGTCATTCAGTAGACATCCTGCGCTAATCTTTATGATTTTTCCTTTAAGTTTCCATCTTGCAATGTTTTCCATACATTTTAAACTATTAGGCATTTTTAATGAGCAGATCATCCCCAAATATGAGGCGATATCTGCAGCTTGGCTGTAATGCTGTTAAATGGGTTCACTTCTCTGAAACAGGCTGGGTCAGTCGCGCTTGTCACAGAATCATGTTTTGATTGTTTAAGCCTATGGACAAGCACAAACTAATACGATCTATTCAAGAGCAAAGTTTGTACGTCCAATATTAAAGGAGGCATGGCTTATTGAATAACACAGTTTATGGTGTTATCCACCACGGTAATGCATACCGTGGTTCCATCAATCAGTTCACCCACGTTTGTGCTGGTTGCTTGACATAAAACTTGCATAAAACAAAGGTAAAGGAAAGTACGGTATGCACTACTGCAGTGAATGACGTCATAGACTGTGTTTTTTGATGGATGATATCTCTGTCAATCCTGGATGTAGAAATTTAGCATCAAGACAGATCTTATTTGTTTTTTTAAAACTGTAAACTCAAACCATCAAAACACGGTTGATTGAGAATACACAACTGAGCCGTACTCAAACACAAGAAAAAGACATCATTTGAGTGATGTTTGTAACACCAAGTGACTAAAATTTTGTTGAAGTTATTCATACTGCTTCCAAAGCAGTCTTTAAATAGTTAAATATTTTAGGGAACATTTGGGTGTTGCAAATTTGAATTTTTGTGTTAGTCAGTATTTTTAAAATAATGCAAATCTATTTTTATTTGTAATTAATTTTTAAATTACGTAACATAGTCAATTAAAATAAGTTATTTTTCTTATTTTTCCTTGTTTGTAGGCTGTAATTTTTTAATTACTATGTCCTCTTTTTGTTTCAAAATATTAGTACATTCTAATCTTTTAATTGTTGTCTTTATGAAACCATCTGAATATATTAAAAGCAGCCCTTTCAAGACTACCAACTCTTGCTGTCCGTTTTACAATTGATCACCCATTTCCTTAATTGTTTCATTCACTGAGGGCAAGGTTAATTTTAGCAATTATCCGACCAACTGAACAGTCTGTCCAAATGTGCATTTGCATGTATTTTACAATCACTAGTGTACCACTGGCAATCGCTTGTTCCCAATGCTATATATGTGCACTTGGTCAGACAGCAAATGCACACATTTTGAAAATGACAGCCTCAATGAGGAAAACTAGAGGAGTAATAATTTTCATTGATGCCGTAATCGCATGCATTATTGGTATTATGGCAGAGATATCGATGGTGAAACTGCAGGACTGAGTATCTCCTTTTGAGGTGTTTCAAAATCCCCTCTCCCATTATATTTTATCAAAGGAGAACAATCCAATGCCATATTTCATGTATCGTTCTGACAAAGAAGAAAACCACGGAAGTTTGCCAAATGCAATGTTGAGTTTTTTTTTCAATTTAAAAACTAAGTATGTTAGGACATCTGTAACATTGCAAACCAAGACACACGTTTCTGCAGTTACATCGCCGATTGTCTTTTGCATCTAGTAATGCCGTCAACTCGAGGTTCGCCTTCAATTTCGTCACATAGGCAACAAACCTAACGAGGAGCGTGAGTAAGATATCTTTTCGAATAACTCGCCCCAAGAACTTATTGTTAAGTGAAACTAATAGACGCGGCACAAATCTATTAACAAATATCTTTCACTTGAGATTCGCCTTCAATTCCGCCGTATAGGCAACAAACCTACTGGAGAACTCGAATAGTTATCTATTCGGAAAACACACCAATCCCGCTCCATAAACTTGGATGGAGTAAACGTAATAAGACGTATATGGTCTACTTAAGATCCGCCTACAATTTCGTGCGTAGGCAACAAATCTACCAGGAAGTGTTCTTTTCAAAAAACACATTTTCATCAAATTTGATGGAACATTGAGACAAATACCAAAAACATTGAATCACAAATACGCAAATCCTTTTGGTCAGATCAGATATTGTGCACCTGAGGCCCGCCTTCAATTTGGCCGCATAGGCAACAAATTTATGACACATTCAGTTGGTAACCTATCCTTGTCCTGAGGAAAGGTAACAGATTTTTTTAAAAATTTTTGCCTACATTCTTCGTGATTTGACAAATGTTTCCTATTTTTTTCTTCTTTTCATTTTATTTCCATGTGAAACCCACGCCCGTTGTTGAAGGAAAAAATAAGTTGCCAGGTGTAATGAACTTTTAACTTTTTAGACAGTGCTTTTTCCGAAAAAATGTATGAGAAAGGTGCAGATCCTTGAACTTCATGACTGTCAGAAGAAAAGTGAAACTTTGTTACTTTGCAGTGTAATCGAACCCCTCTGGCCCCCGCTACCCCTCCGATTACACTGGGAATATTCACACCTTGTCAACCGGGATAAATGATGCGCTCAATCGGTGCATATTGTCCATTATTTGTGCGGCATGCAGTTGCGATTGTATTTGCCATGATTGCGCGTAAATATCCGGTGAGAACTGTCAACGTCTGCATGTGAATATTGTTGTAGGGGTGTCAGGTTCCTCGGGTCGGTGACGTCATGGAGATGAAATGAAGGCCGAACGCTGAACAAGGTGCGAGTGGAGGGGAAATGAATGCATCAGGCTCGGGCATGGGCATCCCGCGGCGCGGCGCGCGAGGGGAAATGGCTGTAACTGTTTTGAACAGAGTTCAACCAGCCTGCTTGCCCCTGCCGCGTTGCCCGAATACGATGTAGTAGTAGTAAGCAAATCGACCGGGCGCGTGGTTACTTCTCTCCCGTCCTGTGCGCGAGTGATTTTTTCATCATTTATAGTTGATTAGATCCCGTTTCCTCCGGCAGGAGTTCGTTTTACGAAGCCAGTTTGTTGTGCGGATTACCAGCTCATCGTTTGAGACGCCTCGATTTCTTCGCAAGTGATTTTGTTGATGGTTTTGTAGTTATTTCTCCGCTACACCTGTGCTCTCCCACTCGTACAAGTTCGTGACAATGTGTTCATTCACGGTTGCTGCTGGCAGTATCGCATTTGGATTAGTTTTTGTCATGGAAGTGAATTAAGAATCCAGTTGACATGTCAGTTGTGTAGGATGCTCCCTGAACCCTTGCCAGGGTTCCTGATAACAACCCGCTCAGATGCAACGTCATGCCTCGAAGGAAGGGTCACAGTATCCCCCCTACTAAAAGTAAGTCGTACATTTCTTATCAGTAACTGAACACTTTTCCACCATATCTAGCATCCGTTCGCACATTCTAATTTCCACTTACTCACAAATCAGATAACAGAAACCAATTCCCATTTACTGACCGATGCAATGGTTGGCCGTGATTTTGCTCATTCATTCTCCCCATTTTCTCTGCGTAGAGCAGACCGCAGTCAACGTAAACAAACCGAATCATCCATAACCCTTCATTCATTTAACAGTTTAACGCTATCTGATAATACCATTAACTCGATTATGAATCATCCATGCCTGTGCAATACTGTGCATCCATGAGGCTTTATATTATTTGTTACACAAGTACGAATTTTACGGCACAGGACATGTGCTTGCACTTTTACTAGCGCACCAGCAATCGTTCTTGTTCGTATCAGGTCTAGTTTTATTAATACAAACTTTTTTAGTCAGATGAGCAGGTTCTATGAGCACCTTTCGATTGATGCATTGAATTCAAAGGAATTTAGTTCTTCATATCACAGGGAGAGAGATAGATGTGTCATTCCATCTGAAACACGCAGAGTAATCCTTTGGCATTACTCTATTGGTCGTCATGAAGATCACAGTTCCTTCAGTTCATCTGATTGGTCATCCGTCATAATTAAAAATTGTTCATTTACTTATAGGTTAGATTACTTACTGATAGATTTGTAGCGAAGAAATCATTGCCACTGCCTCATTTCCATCGAGTCAATCAGAGCTAGGTCAGACGTGAAATTTTGCACTAAACTTTCCAAATTCAATGTTTATTTTGTCACGATTTCAATTTTGAGGAGTGTTTCTGAAAGGAAATTTTACACTAAAACCAATGGAACCACTCTCAAAATTTTTTCATCCTATTTTGGAAAATACAAGCTTTCAAAGTATCCAGATTTTGTCTGCCTTCTCCTATTGACTCGGTCCAGTGTGCGCCTGTTACTCACTTATATTGTATGTGCACTGCCAAGTGCTTTCGTTGTAATCCTCTTTGCTCGCTAGTAAAACTTTCAGCAAAGATTTCTGATGTATACACCAAGTGCACCCCAGTTAGCTATTCTATTAACCCGAACACGCAATTTGTATTTTCCCCTCTTCTCCTGGACTTGGGATGCGATAATGGCTTTGTTCGCACTGAGAATGATATCCTCAGCTGATCCAATAATAAGCTTGAGGGATTTCATGAGGATATGTTGCTATCTGATTACTTTTTGCAATTATTTGTGTATGCTACGAATTGGTGTCCAGATGAAACTAATCTACTATGGTTACCAAAATTTGAGGTCTGATCTGCAAGTGGTCTACAAGGGTCAAACTCCTGCCTCAATGAGGAATTTATTTGACCGTGGGATCACGGTTCCAAATTTATAGCCATGCCTCTGAGCCGATAGGGTTACTGGCGGTCTGGAAAACCGGGGAAGTCAGGGATTTTTTGAAATACGTTTTGCAGAAGTGAGGGTAATTCAAAGGAAAGAAATCAAACGTCAGGAAAAGTCAAGGAATCCAAAAAATTTGGAGTTTGGGAAGTCAGGGACTTAGACGATGAAGAAATCATGATAACCCTGGATTTACCGGGNGGGGGGGGGGGGGGGCAAAGAAGAAGTTCTGGTAGAGGTATTATATTACGTCATGTCTTAATTAGCAGTAAGTCATGAGGGCTTCATACCTAGCATAACCTCCAAAATTACTGAATATCCTCAGATTTGTCTCAAACAGGGTTGGAATTCACCAATCTTCTCATGTCGGTCATGAACATACTGCTGAGTGTCTGAGGCTTTCATTTTCCAACCCCAAGAGATATTCATTGAACACCACGTTGTACCGCTTAGGATTCCATCCATCCACAGCTTTTATTGTTAAAGCATCGAATTTTTGTATCTCTGAGAGAAAGTGTTAGGTAGTTTTCCCAAGTCGCATGGGGTTGACTGATAGAATAGCGATAGTGCAGCGAGCAACAGTTGCAGAGAAACAGTCGGAAAAGGGCGGCATGGCGTTATGTCGGCAAGGAATAGTTGAGAAAGATTCCCACTATCAGAACCGGAGTCGGTCAAAGTCAATAACCTGCCTTGTCCGCAGACACATTGTGACTGCTGCTTCGGTTAAAATTAAACGATTAACGGCTCGTCAGAGCGCGCAAAACCAAGAAAACAGATTGCGTTGTTTCCGGTGTTTACGTTCAGAGGCGTCATGTTCGCCGTGGTTTTTTTAATAGCTTCCAATTGGGTGCAAAAAGGTGTCTCTGCTCAAGCGGGCTCCGATCTCGTCAATGCTGTTCCGTTCCAATCACGATGATTCATGTTCGTTTTCATTCATATTTTCAGAGCCAATTCTAGGTACGTCATTCACTGAAAAATGTTACGGGCTCTACAGACATGCCGTCCGCAATAGGTTCAGAGGCCGAAAGTTCCGGGTGCTGGAGCCGGGACTTTTGGCCTCTGAGCCCGGAACGCGGACGCTATGTCTGTATAGCCCGTAAGTACGGCTTCCATGACCAGAGTTTCTCTTTTTAGTGTTGCGACAGGGGAGAATCCTCCTAAGATTCGGTGGCTTATCTATTTGACCTGCACCGAGCGAATGGGGCACGTTTACAGGATATTAAAAGCATCTAAGTGATCATGAAGTTCAATGGAGCCTTAGGTGAATTTTGCGAGTGCGCCCTCGTTCCGCTTTTTGGATGTTTCCCTTGCGCTTGGTACAAGGCATACTCCATCGGACACAAGAGTGAAGTCAGGGTTTCCACGCAGTCAGAGAATACCGGCAAATGTCAGGGAAATGACGCAAGTCAAGGTAAAATTGAATAGACATCTGTATTTGCTTTCCAGAATAGATTTGACGTTTGGAACAACAAATTTTGCCTAAAACCTATTTCTAATTATGTCTTTTTGACCGTCTGGAATAACTTCAATTGCTTGGGAATTTTACCAAAATGTGTTCGGGAAAATTCATTTTTCAAATTCTGTAGCATCCCTGACAAGTCTTTTTTCAAATATCCTAGAATTATTATAGTTGCAGGGTTTGCTGAAATGCTATTCATTAGAGTTAGAGCAGGTCTTTTTTACCTGGCGGAGGATGGGGGAACTGCGCGGAGCCACGAGTGATCGGGGAAGAGGCTCCAGTCGGAGTCGGTGCGGTCCTCTGAGGTCAATTGAACGAAGTAGGTGGGGCGAGGGGGCGCCAGATTGCCGCTCAGGGGCGCCGGGAGGGAGCGGGGGCTTCGTGAGATTACGTCACAACCAAGCCCGGCCCGGGCGATGAATGTGCGTAATTCGTGAAGGGAATTCTCTGACGCGAGGAACCCGAGCCGCGGATCCAACCTCGTCGCCATGTCTCCCCTTAATTGAATCACTTGTTATCAAAAGGGAACAAGTCCATTTTTGCATGAGACTCTGCCTCCATAAAAAGACATACGAACTAAGACTCATCGAGGAATGGATTTGTTCCCTTTTGACAAAAGCTGATTCTATCCCTTATGTTCCCCGTAAAAGTGTCGATGTATCGAAAAGAAATGATAAGTTGATGATGCATCGTAATAGACCCTTCGAAAGGGTAAGGATTCACTATCTTCGAGACAGGGCTCCTTATCAAACTGTCGGACTGTACAGACCGAGTACATATCAAGATGTTGTTTCGTGGGGGGCCGACGCCGAGTAAGTAAGGAAGTCAGGAAGAATGAGTTAGATCTGCGGAACGAAAAGATTGGACTAATCAGAAAATGGCACCGTTCAACAGTAATTCATGTGCAAACCAATGGACCGATTGATGGGCAGTCTTACAGGTTGATGCGAATTTTGTCCAATCTTTAGGAGCTTTTCGCAAAATACATAACGTTCTGAAGGATGGAGGGGAGGTCCTAGCCTAGAGTGTAGCCTTAGAACCTTTATTATAGGTTCTTATTAGGGGGCTTTAATGTCTGGGTCTGCGTCACGCAAGACTGAATCGAAAATTTAGGATGAAAAATCGACGCGGGGTGGCAATTTTATATCCGAAATTTGTTCAACAGCGCTATTTTGAGGGAGGGTATAGCTCTGTTACAGGAGGAGAATGGGTATATAAATATCCGATTTTTTCAATAAGTGGCCGCTGCCCATCGAAATTAAGAGGCGTCTTCATTCACTATTTGATCAAAATGTAAGTCTCGAACTGATTCCCAATTGGATGTCTTTTGATATCCTGTCTGCGATTTATGTTGATTATAAAGTAGAGGCGCTTCTTAATTTTGATGAGCAGCATTCAACAGTCTCATCAACGTTCCATTTTGATGGTGGAATCACTGCCTGAGATCTCTCTATTGTACGATTTGGCAACCGCGATGGAAGGAAACTCCTCGAGCCAGCCAACGCGCGAGCCGGGGGATGCCCCCTTCTCACTTCTGGGGTGACGGTGCGGTGAGCTCACGGCTCAACCGGTGAGCGCTGCTTATCGGGAAGGGGGGGGGGGCGCTTCTAAAACTTGTAGGCGACCGGGACTCGAAGAGCTCGGTGGAATGCGTGCAAAGTAGTTCCCCCGGCCGCGGCGGCGTTGTCGATCCGACATGCCTCATACTGGACCGCTTTCCAAGCGAGAAGTTAGACATGTGCGTTGTGACGTCGCAGCGGCGAAACGAGTTCTCGATACGTTTCCGTGAAGGATATTCTCAGCTCACGCGCAGTATTTTCGGTTCCAAGAGTGGGCGACAAAAAAGGAGGACTTGTCAGGGATGCTAAATGTCCCTGACCGTCCGGATCAAAGATCGTTTGCGAGCGATGTGATCGACCATTCAAATCACCTTCTCCTATAAAATGGAAAAATTGGTCCCAACGAATGACGCAAGGCCACAGTGCCTGTATTGGAAGCATATCGCTGATTGTCCTGATCCGTAGGCGGACCCAGACCCTTCGAACGAGAAGGGCGGAAGAGGGGGTCCGGGAGGCTTCCCCCAGAAAATTTTCGACATTTTAAAGCATCTAATCTGCAGTTTGAGTCAACTTAGTCATGAACAATCACCAAATGTA